CGAGAATTTTATCCATATAGGTGCGCTACAGAGGGTTGTGATAACATTTCCTCTCATATTTTCTACGCCACTGATGAAATTTCGATTATTTCCAATTTCTCGAATTGACTGTTCAATTATGTTGAAAAAATGCATCACCTTCAAATGAGCTAAAATGAACAGTTATCGAGATATTTGACCCAAAATAGAAGTTTGCATAGTAATTTTTCATCATTTTCAGTAGTAGAAAATTGCAATAATTTTTGTTTTCCCTCTATGCGGGGAATAACTATTTCTGTTCAGCTATAGAATGAGATCTGAATAATATCTAATCTACTCAACACCAGAAAAATAATTTGGGTCGAATATCTCGAAAACTATTCATTTCAGCTCAGTTGAAGGTGATGCATTTTTTGAACAAAATTGAACAATGAACTCAAGGAATTTATCAGTGGCGTTGAAAATATGGGAGGAAAAGTTGCTACAACCCACTGTGGGGCACCACTGGATAAAATGCCCGGAATGGCTTCCTGGTCAAAAAATTACCCATTCAAAGATGAAACTATATACCGATCGAAGTTGAATGCATTATATTCAATTTTTCTTAAGGTATTGCGAAACAACTATTTTTATTTCTTAACTTTAACACCCTGTATCTCGAGAACTGAACACTTGAAGACCGTATGCCCCTATCTCAGTGATTATGAAATTACGAGGGCTATCACCTGTCAAGCGTTGTCGGTCGAATTTCGCAACACTCTGTATAGTCACTCTTCCTTGGACTGCCTACTGCCTGACGGACAGTCTAGATATTTAGCCGTCACAATAGCCGTCATTAGCCTCAGTGCAGCTCAGTGCACTTTACCAATGACGGCTAAATGGACTGTCTGACGAGTACTACATGACTGTCCAATCACTCAGTTCAGTGTATTCTCCACCAGAGGGGTTTACTTGCCGTCCTTTCCAAGGTTGGTAGAACTGATGACTATTTTGTATAGGAAGGTTGCCTCGATCGCACCCCGCGAGTAACCTTGAGTAACTCATGACGTAATAGGCCCTTTCTTTTGCACGAAAAGTTTAGCACTCTCGTACACTTCGTGTATGATATGTACGCCGGCGATTGGCCGGCGCATGTATTGAATTGACAGTTGTCAGTATTTTCGAATATTTGAACCATTTTGAACTTAAAAATGTAAAACAGATAATTTGTTCGGTCACTTCTTGTTAAAATTCGTACAAGTGTAATGAGACTAGTGAATATAGTTTGTGTTTCCATTAATTTCCATAAGATGAGTCGATTCGTGAGAAATGGATTCAATTTTGTGGACGTAATTTCAATTCATTTAATACCAAAACTTGGCGAATATGTTCTGCCCATTTCGATGCCGAGTATTTTGAACGGCACAAGCAGAATTGCTAAATCACACACCAAAGAGAAGAATACTCAAGGTAGGAATCCCATCAATAATACCAAATACAACAAGAGAAACACCATAAGTATGGAAGTTTGGAAAAATGATCAGAACCAGACCAGCTGTGAATGTTGAGATTCTTGCTGAACGGGTAAAATGGACATCAGAAGATATCACAGGTGTTTTCAAGTTGACATATTTGAGCATCAAGAGTACCTACGTTACCCAACGAAGAGGAGCTATGTTTATTTGAGAGATTCCTTGAACTATCCTTTATTATAGGTTCACTTATAATAGTAGTGTTATTTTTCATTAATTTTGTTCAGAATCATATTTTGTTATTTTTTTATGCTCAAATACTTCGATCAATTGCTCTGTTTTTGACTACAATATAATCAAACAATGAAATACTATTTCCTCTTGTATTTTCTATAGGTATCTAGGAAAGTTTGTTAATTTTTCAGAATAACAGAGTTATATTGATAAAATAAGTGATCTGTTGTGTACGAATATTAGTCCACTGCTACTACTTCTGGATCATCAGTTGATTATTCTTATATTTTCTGTAGTTTCTTGTTCACATTATCTGATTTGCAGGATATTTATAGGATGAGTAGGTTCATAATCAATGCATAAGTAATCACTAGCTCCATAATTATGCTCCATACCTCAAAACACACATACCTGGTACCACGACCTGGTAAATAGCCCCTGGAACAAAATTTCAGATAGGTATATTCCTCTCTGTACTACTGATCCATCCAAAATTGCCTTCTCATTTCGAAGATTATACAGAAGTATATGTAAATATTCATATTTTATAATGGTACTTACTTATAATTATATACTATAGATCAATATAAATATGCTGAGCAGACCAAAAAGTTTGTATCATGTTTGTATACTCAATTTGGTAAACATTTCATGACATGTCGCTTTAAGGTTGACAACTTGTCGTCTTACTGCCTGTGACGTCACGAGTGACCGTTTCCCCCCTTGCCGCACTATCGATCGAGGCAACCTTCCTATACAAATTATAATCAGTTCTACCAACCTTGGTCCTTTCCGGAGAAGTCATTTGTTTTAGCTCTCATTCCGTTGTTTTCCAATAACATAGGTTATATTGAATTATTATTATTTTATCAAGTGTCAAAACTGTGTCACTGTCAGGTCCCTGATGTGTTCTGTTGAATATCGATAAATTCCTTTACTTTTTCGGATTTTCATTCAATCAAGCATTCTTCTTTGTGTTTAGTTCTCGTAGTTTATTTATTCAGGTTTGCTAGTTGTGTCTTCATCATGTATTTACAGCCTATCGTATGAAATGAAATGTAGTACTCATACCCAGTGATAAACTCCACAGCAAGAATGGTCGAATTTTATTTTGGAAGGCATATTGGTAAGAATATGATTTTTCATGTACATTTTTCTGATGATTTTCAATTTCAGCCTCGATTCCACCATTAGAACACTGGTGTTAATTCTGGTGTTGAAGTCTGTGTTAATGATTTTGGAAGACACTATAGAGTGATCGGATCTACATTCAGAAAGGATCGCTTACCATAATTTTCAAGGTATGTTTAGTCTGCATTGTTGTTGCGTAGCTAGGTAGGGTAGGAGTAGTATTGTTGAAAACTGTTTCATGTGAGCCTGATGGTTCAAGCCATCAATGCAACGTATTCAAACTTAAATTACCATATACCTACAGGATGGGCATCCCAAAAAGCAACACCAAGAATGAAAGAGGAATGGAATTTAAGGTATGCTCTTTGAATCCCAGAGAATCATCAGTCTAGGCCAACATCTGGAGTTTTTTCGAGTGCCACAACTACAATTTGGGGTATTTTGTGTTCTTGCTTCCTGGAAAATATCACAGAATAATGATACTATCAGAGATTTTCAAAAATGTTTTTCACTGCTGTGATAATTTTGTCACAAGAAATTTAAATTAATTATTTGACCTAAGTTTATGTATTATATATGCCCATCTATCAATGAGATCCTGTATAGCTTTCTTGTTTTCTTGATAGAAGTATGAGATGGTATATATGTGAAATAAGGTATAATGTTGTCACTGATACTAGCCCACTAACTATAGCTTCCCCAAGTAGATCTAAAAAGATGAAAAGAGTGCAAACTCTACATTTGAAATGCATATAACTATTTCTGTCTCCACAAAGTTTTGAAAATGGTTGAAAAATATGGATTGATAGATAGATGATATGTATAGAAAGCATTTATTCAAGTAATATAATAATTTTATTCCATATAGACAGTCACCATAATAAACAATTTCCTTTTCCATTAAATTAGCTAATGATGATGAGCTTATATTTGAACTCAAAACATGCTTCTTCTCTGCTGATTTCTGAACAGATAATAGAAATTGTGGGATACACAATAATATATCATCTTCCTCTTTTATTTCCAGTGTCCAAAGGATCTCCAGGTAACCTAGCTTCATCCTCCAAAGTCAAGATCCCATATCCAAGCCGTTTTATATTCATTGTGTTGCCATCCCCAGAACCTATGAAGAAATGTTGCTATAGAACATTTAATGTATATCTGATATGAAATATATAAGTATGAAATGATAAATTGGTATTTAATTTGCTATTCATGGAGATACCTGATATTGTAGTTGAAATGCCTGATTATTTTTCTGAACCCTCACCTAATTAAACAACTGTTCACAAAGCTCACCTTATAGTAAATATTCTAGTTATGCATAGATACCATCATCAGAATTGAATGTCTCCAGTCATCATTCAATCAAACCTCATGAAGAGCTGCCGCAACATTGTGTTGAGAAAATTCAGTCTCTTCCTGAAAATACAAATTAAAAAAATAATATCACTTGAGATCACAGATTTTGTGAAACAATATGAAATGTTGCAGTGCATTCCACTTTGAGAATTTAGCAGTATCTGGTTATTAGGGCTACCATGGCTCTTATTAGGCAGTTAAAAATTCAATCAATGAAATAATTGAACATGTCCTTACCTATTATTCACGAATTGACGAAGATGATTTCCACTTGTATGGCATTATTATTTATGCATATAATAACCTTATTTGGCATGAACACTCCTATACTCCTAACCACTTCATTTTGTTGGCCTTTTCACAGTTTTACTTGGTATCTCGAACAAAGCTCTCCAATCTCGAGTGACAATGAGTGACAGGCTGACAGTAAGAAAATTTGTCAACAAATAATGCAGGATCATGAATGCAGGTTATGTTGAATAGCTCATTTGACACAGGAAATAGATGACGCCACTTGCCGTCCCTTCAAAATTTCATTACAGGGCGATTTGGAGATTTTCGCTGAATGAACAGTCATGTATAACCCGTCAGACAGTCCATTTAGCCGTCATTGACTTTACATCAGTTCCGCGTCCGCTTAAGTTGTGGATGGTTTACCGAACAGAGCATATTCCATTAGTTCAAAACTTCCGAGTGTGCTGTCAATGCTTTCCGTGAATGAATGTTTGATCCAATGAAACTGTATCAAAATGGCGATTGACTGAAATATCTTTCATATCGCTGTCACTTTTTAGTACATTATATTTGCAATCTTTTCGCTCTATCTAAACATCGTTAGCCGCCATTGTAGATGTTGAGAATCGAGTGATGAGTCGTTGTCGCGCCTTATTTACATAATTTGTGTTTTTGCAGATAATCCTTCACCTTAGTGTAAGCTTTTCGATCGGATATGCTTATCGATACTGGCCCCTTTGATCAAAACAGTGTTAGATCTTGACTTTCATTTGAACAATGTTGCAAAGGTAACCTCTCTGATAGAGCAGCAAAAAAATTAGAAGTATCCCCATTGTTATGACATTATCCTCGACATAATTTGGCGGAATATGTTGGGTGCTCGATCTTCACCTTCCAGTTCATCATTCTTTCAACAAAACTCTCATTCAAAGAAGATACCTAAATTGAGAGAAACCCTGTAGTTGTTGCTGATTTTGAGTAGTGTCCAGTGTCTGCTAGTTTCTGTCAGTCAATACGATGAGTAAACGTAGAAGAACCAGTTCCATTTACCAGGAAGAAGATTCTCTTGATAGTTTGGTTGCTTCTACAAGCAGTGGCCCTACAATGCGTAAAAGGAAAAAAGTGTTTGACCCTGTAAGTACCTATTCATAAGGAATATTGTTACAAACTGTTCAATTGAAAATTTCAGATGGAGGCATGCCAGCAACTGATAGATATTGTAAGGAGTTACAAAAAAGAAGATGGTTCATTGCTTAGTGAGTCCTTCATTAGAGTTCCCAAGCGTAGGCAAGAACCTTCTTACTATGATGTAGTTAGTAATCCCATAGATTTGTTGAAAATCCAACAAAAACTAAAAATGGATGAGTATAATGATCTGGATGAGTTGCAGAGTGATATAGAATTAATTGTAAATAATACTAAGGCTTTTTATAAGAAAAACTCTCAACAGTATAAAGATGCTACTGAGCTATGGGAATTATTCATTTCCAGTAAAAATAAGTGAGTATATTTTGTATATTAACTTTCAAAGTGAGGCTTCTGACACATTATTTCAGGCTATTGAATGTAGATGAGGAACCTAAAAAACCAGTGAATAACAAGCAACCCCAACAGAGAAATGCTAGAAGGAGTCTTGTAAAGCCAGATACAAAAAACAACATGAAGCATGAAGATTCCCCAGAATACATTGATTCTGAAGATGAAGATGATTCTAACTTGTATGAAGAGTTTTTTGCTGCAATTATGACAGCTAAAGATGACCACAAGAAACTGCTCCACCCTGCCTTTCAATTGTTGCCATCCAAAAAGAAATATCCTGATTACTATGAGGTAGTTGAACAACCAGTTGACTTGAAAATGGTGGCCACCAAAGTACAGAACAACAAATACAATCATATTGTTGAGATGGAAAGGGATTTGTTGTTGATGTGCAAGAATGCTTGTCTCTACAATGATCCTGGTTCTCAAATTCATAAACAAGCAAAAGTATTGAGGAAGGTAAGCATTATTTCAGTGAATTCATCATATCTGAACTGTTTCTTGAAACCATTTATGCATTCAATTTTCCTAAATCAACAATTCTCTTCAACTTCATTTCAAGAGATATCCAACTTGTTTTCTAAGGAGAAAGTCTTTAACATAAACAGGCCTTCAGATATAATCATTGAAGAAACATCAAAATGATAATAGAACATGATGTGAGAAACTTAATTAAATGAATTAAAGGACAATAAATTGAAATCTTGATGAAAATTCATAGATTATAAAAAGATCAATGTGCATTGCGAGGTGCATTGATCCAACAAATTTCACATGATGTGAGAAATTAAATTAAATGAATTAAAGGACAATAAATTGAAATCTTGATGAAAATTCATAGATTATAAAAAGATCAATGTGCATTGATCCAATGAATTTCACATGATGTGAGAAATTAAATTAAATTGAATGAATTAAAGGACAATAAATTGAAATCTTGATGAAAATTCATAGATTTTAAAAAGATCAATGTGCATTGATCCAACAAATTTTGTTGACCTATTGAAATTTTCTTATTCTGTGAATTCAAACAATGTGCAGTAATCCAAATTTACTGAAGAATATTAGGTGAACCTAACCTCAATAATGATCCTGGTTCTCAAATTCATAAACAGGCAAAAGTATTGAGGAAGGTAAGCATTATTTCAGTGAATTCTGATTGATTATCATATCTGAACTGTTTCTTGAAACCATTTATGCATTCAATTTTCATAAATCAACAATTCTCTTCAACTTCTTTTCAAGAGATAACCAACTTGTTTTCTAAGGAGAAAACCTTGAACATAAAAGACTTTCAGAGAAAATTATTGAAGAAGTATTGAAATGATAGTAAAACATGATGTGAGAAACCTATATTACATTGAAACATTGAGGATACCTACTATTTAATTAAAGGACAATAAATTGAAATCTTGATAAAAATTCATAGATTGAAAAAAGATCAATGTGCATTGATCCCACAAATTTTGCTGACCTATTCAAATTTTCTAATTCTGTAAATTCAAACAATGTCCAAAAATCCGAATTTACTAAATTTACTGAAGAATATTAAGTGATCCTAACCTCAATGATTATTAGACATTGAATAAAGAATGAAGAACTTTAATTTGAAAAGTTGGATTGTCTCTGCTGCTGGTGTTGTATAAAAACCGTGAAGATTTCATTCATGATCATTGGCAGATTGGAGATTTTTTAAGAAAATAGTGATCATTTTACAGGAAAATTGTAATAATTTTATTGGTAGGTAGATGCACTAAATATTTTTTTGATGGTTATTTGTGCTGAGATTTGTGCATTCAATGGTTACAGCTCTAAAAAGGTATCAAGTATTCAAATTCAATCCTCCATCTTCAAATATGTAGATAGACACATGAAAATACAAAATGGATTATTTTTTCATTCACTTTTTTATATCATGAGTGTAATTATTGAACATGAAATCAAATTAATATAAATTTCACCTAGGTACATCAAATTGAAATAATGGGAGATACATATTATTATGATGATTATATTTTATCAATTTGAGGCTTCATATTTCTAATTTTTGAAAATCAATGATTAATTTCAGGCACTGTGCCTAAAATCCAATTGTACTGAAGGTAATGAAAACATTTTCTGAACTTCTCAATAATCATAAAATATTGGATAGAGAAAGAAAACTTGTGATTTGAAAAGTTGGCTGGTGCTGTCATAACAAAACAATTGCTGTATAGTGCAGATTTATTTTTATGATCATTGATGCTGGGTTTATTCAACTAAACTAACAACTATTAACTTAAAAATCTGTCTGTCATTTGAGTGAAGAAGTAAGATTTACAAAGATGGCCAACTTTCAACTTGAAGATTGGATTTGTTATTGTTCAAGTGGAGTTTGATGTTATTTGATTGAAATATTTTTTATTGATACATGAATTTTGGAGACCAAACTCACTTTTTAGCATCATTTTGATCTTAAATCAAAAGGCATATCACATTTAATTCTTGATTAATATCAGATATGTATAAACACCCTCATGATTATTAATTGTTAATTTAATTGAATCTATAAACCCAGCATAACAGATTTTTAAAGAAAATTGTAGTTTAGGAAACTAGTGATGTTTTCATATAGGTAGTTTAAAGGTATGTAGGTATGTAGAAAGTTGTTGAAGAAAATGAAGAAATTGTAACTATGTTATTGATAGTTTGTTCCTACCATGTTCATAGTATTTGGAGAACATATGAGATTGGCTTCTAGGTCTGAAAAGGTGTAAAACAGTAGTTTGTTCAAATTTAAATCATCAGATTCAAATTATTTGTCCCAAAATATGTAGGCACATGAAAATACAAATTAGATTATATTTTAATGGTTGCAAAATTTTCTTGCTTTCAATCATGTACCTAGTAGAAGATAAATATGAATCCCATTGATTACAAAATTGCATATCTATTTTTCTTTACATTTGTACTAAACAAATCGTTATTAATAAAACTCCTTGTGAATTCAGATCCTATGAATAAGTTTGTGTGGAGGGTGTGAAATTTGACTGACTATGCTACACTACTGGTCTTCTTGATTTAATGAAGAATGAGTGAGGAGTATAAAAGTTGAAAAATAAAAATTGTCATATCAATCAATTGATCAATCAATCAACTTTGTCAATTTTGTAAACCATACAAGGTATAAAACAAGTCACAAGTTACAATTACATTTTTTATATGTGTACACATATAAGAGTGAACACTAAAAATACAATTTCATGAGTAAAACTTCTGAAAAATAGAGGAAAATAATAAAAAATAGAGCCACTACTATAAATCCAGAAACTCCTCTACTGTGTAGTAACACTTTTTAAGCAGGTATTGTCTAAGAGATTTCCTGAACTTGAAGTAATTCCCTTGTTTTTTGATGATATTTGGAAGCTTATTATATATTCTGATACCACTTGATTTTGGACCATTCAGTGCTATGTTCAAATAGTTTTGAGATGTTAAATAAAATAAGTTGCGAATTCATATTCCTCATGTCAGAAAACCTAGAAATACAAGATTTCATGTTCATGCTGTTGAAACTAAAAAAGTTATTTTGAAATAAAATCTCCCCCTAGAACACCCTGTATCTCCTAAACCAGCAACATTATCATCAGGCATATTGGGCTAAATCTCATTATTTTTGTGTTTACTATCTGTAGTTCAGATATTTCCCATTCTTAATGAATCACCCTGTATAAGTGGTGACTATGTCTAGTTGAATAACTGTGAATATTGTTATTTTGAGGAATACAGTATTTATTTTTATGAATTTAACAGGATATTTTCGAAATATAGAGGCAACAGAGAGGAAGTATATTCATTTGATTGAACAATTGTTTGCATGAATCTGTGAGTCTTGTTCATAAATGTTCAGAGACATTTTTTTCTGGAGAATGTCTAACTTTCGTGATACAGAAGACATTTCCGATAGCATTATCCCATATGTCAGCCTCTTTGTATTTCAGCAAAATAATAGTTGTTCAGAACATTTATATTCAATATTTTGTGAAGGCATCTTGAGTTGATATAATTTTCTGTTAAATTTTTTGATAACTTTCCTTATGTGTGGTTCCCAGTCATTCATTGTGATGCCTAGAATTATTACAATGTTAGTATATCGAAGACTGGAACCTTTGGCACGATAATACACTACACTGTTTTACCACTAACCAAACCGATTTTTTTAACACCTCGACACGTGTTTCGCTAACTGTGTTAGCATCTTCAGGAGAAGATTAAAACTAAATATCCTATTCTAGTGTGCTGCTTATATACTAGGTATATGTTCACCCAACTGTGAAAAATACTAACCGTCAAGTTAATGTTTGTCATGGTTGAGTTCACATGTTAATCTAAATTTTTATTTTACTAAACTATATAGAGGGCTATATGGAATAGGTCCATTATCCTTATTCATTACTCTATTACTATTCTTAAATATCTCTAAGCTTTCATATGCGTCTAGTTTTCTAATGTTATTAACTTGCTTAACTAATTTGAGGTTAGTAATATGTGTGTTGTGATTGTGATTGAACATATGTTCGGCTACACAAGATTTATCTAACCTGCCATATTTCAAATGGGCTATGTGTTCTTTGAACCTTGTTTTTATGGGTCGCCTGGTTTGGTAGTGTACAATGTTAGTGTTGATTTTATTTTGCCCAAGGTATATGTCCATATTAGTCTGGTATGGAAGATTATAAATTGTGTTTTGCTTGGCCCATTGAAAACGAAACAGAGGCTCTGTAGGTCGCAAGAATCGGATTTTAAAAAAACACGGGAAGCCTTTGATTACATCTTCGAGGGGAACATCGCTCTAAACTATTTTCAGCGCTGCGGCGTTTCCGCTTCTATCGAAAACTAGCAACAACTTTGTTGTTTCAAATGGAACACCCCATATTTTATTGTATTTTTAGATTCTTCCTGAAGATCTGAGTTTATCAATGCATCACACTTGGGGTCGAGCATGAATAATTACAGAGATAAAGAGTGTTCAAAAACGAGATTTTTCAACTTTAGGAACACTATATTTCTGTAATCATTTCCGCTAGCCCCAAGTGTGATGTGTCGATGAAATCAACTCTTCAGAGAGAATCAAAAAATGCAGTGGAATACAGGGTATTCCATTTGAAATAACAAAGTTGTTGCTACTTTATGATATAAGCGGCAACGCAACGCTGAATATATTAGAACAATGCCCCCTCTAAAATGTAATCGACTTGTTCCAGTGTTATTTAATGTTTTTCCATAAGCTCATTGCATGCTTCTTGATTTAGTTGTATGCATTCCCTTGATATCAAAATTGATATGTCATCTGCATATAGTGTAAGTTTGAATTCTGACAAGTATTCTATAATATCAGCAACATATATGTATAGAGAATAGTATCGGAGAAAGAACGCTTCCCTGAGGAACTCCAACTTGTGACATGTGTATAGTTTCAGTATTTCCTTCATTAGAAAATATTTGAACAAACTGTTTCCTATCAGACAGGAATGACTTGAATCAGTCATGAACCTGCCCCCTTAATTCCATACAGCCATAGTTTGTGTAGCAGGCGATCATGTGGAACACAATCAAGCCTTACTCAAATCACAAAATACTCCAACTGGACATTTTTTCCTATCTAATTCATTTATAATATCTATATAAAATTCGATTGTTGCCGTTTGTGTGAATTTTGATTTTCTGAATCCATGTTGTTCATTAGGTGTTCATTTTGCAATCAAGGAGTAAAATCTATCCAACATACAGTACTCAAATAATGTTGATATAGCTGATATTACTGAAATTCGTCTAAGAGATATGTTTGGGAATTACTTTTGACAGTTTGAGAGCCTCAGGAAATGTTCCAGTCATCAAAGAGTGATTCACGATATGGATATTAACTAATTATTAACTAATTCTATTTTCCTGTGAAGGACAAAAATTTGAAATTTCATCTCTGTTGACAGGTAATAAAATGTCAATTTTCATAAATTACTTTTTTCCCACGGGAAAAAAGTGAGTACTTTTTTTCGGTATATACAGGGTGTCCGGAGATAAAACCGACAAGACTTGTCGGGTTATAGGGACTGTCAATATGATTGCAAAATGCCATAAACCAATGTCCAAAACCGCTTCGTTATTCAATCCGCCATATCAAATACAGGGATCAACCGATTAGATTCAAATTTGGTATACGAATTACACTGAAAAGCATCAACAAGTAGCCCTCTGATCGAAATCAATATCAGGACCGGAATGATATTTTTCCCCTATGTTGAATTATTGTGAGAATAACTCACCCTGTATAATAATAACAAAAAATTCCAACTCAGATTCGACATCTACGGTAAAAATTGTATAGGAATTTGTTGAAAAATCTTCTGGCACTATCTTAGTTATTCCGTAATTAATTATTATTTCAATTTTTTTCTTTCAAAATTCAATTATTATCGGATAAAGTACTATCAAAATTGGTAATATAATAAATATTAACGAAACCATGACATGAATATCGTTATTTTCTTCAATCAGTCCGTAAATTGTAGTAAAATAAAATACTCTCATTACCCGAAAAAATTGAAAAATAAATTCGTATCAGGACTGGAATGCGGTTTTCTATGATTATATTCCTGTAAGAATAGATGATCTAGTATAACAATGATCTGATCGTGGATTCGAAATGCACTGAGAAAAGTTAAAAACTTGTTGAAAAATGATCGGATTGAACTTTCAAGTAATAAATCCGTATCAGTACCTTATAATATTTGTGTATAAAGAATACTAGGCTTGTGTCAAATTCAGAATTTCATTATGGAAAACCATTGTTCAGCTGTCATCAGCGTTTGTTTTATTGGTGTTCATCCATTATTCCAGTGTTTTTAGGATCAAACTATAGTTCTGAGAGTGTGCTTATGATGTCGTTTCATTTCACTTATGAGGAATACGCAAATATTCTATTTGTGTTTGGGCTTTAACTGGTGATGTTTACCTAAATTTCCTGGTCAATACTTGACCGGAACTATTGCAAGGTGTAAATACCTGAGGTATATGGTTTCAGCATGATGGTGCTAGACCTCACTTTTCAGTTCCAGTTAGAAACCATCTCGATGCCAATTACCCCAATAGATGGATTGGCCGTAGAGGTTCAGTAAATTGGCCACCGCTATCCCCTGATCTAACTCAGCTAGATTATTTTTTATGAGGTCATTTAAAGTGTGAAGTTAATAATGAAGAAATTTTTTATGGAAAATTACTGCTGCATGTGTTAGTGTTGGAAATAACCCTCACATAATTCGCAAGTCAGTGAATCATCTAATAGCACGCTCTCAAAAATGTATTGATGTTGGAGGGCTCCACTTCGAAAATGTTTTGTAATACTGGTTAGTGAAAGTTTTTCACGAATTCGTTGCTTTTGTTATGTTCATTACAAACAGTTATTGTTCGTTGTGTAGTATTCTCATAAATTCAAATTCATTAGTGAGCGAATATAATTTACGAAAACTTCACTGTCTTTCATTAACAGGTTCTTATACGATTTTTTTAGATTCCGAATCTAGATTATTGATAACTATTGATGTACTAGGTCAGCTAACATGACCAAACAAAACACTCATTCCAGTCCTGATACGAATTTATTCTTCAGTTTTTTCGGGTTATGGGAATATTTCATTTTACTCCGATTGATGAACTGATCTAAGAAAATAACGACATTCATGTCATGGTTTCGTAAATATACGTACTTTATCCGACAATGATTGATTTTTCAATGAAAAAAATCAAAATGATAATTAATTACGGAATAACTAAGATGGTGCCAGGAGATTTTTCAACAAATTCCTATACAATTTTCACCCTAAATTGCGAATCTGAGTTGAAATTTTTGGTTATTATGATACAGGGGTACTTGTTGATGCTTTTCAGTGTAATTCGTGTACCAAATTTGAATCCAATCGGCTAATCCCTGTATTTTATATGTATCTCAATAACGAAGCCGTTTTGGACATTCGTTTATGGCATTTTGCAATCATATTGACAGTCCCTATAACCCCATGAGTTTTGTCGGTTTTATCTCCGGACACCCTGTATATCACTTATGTATACACAGTAGATGGCTTTTGTTGTGCTATAGTTCCGAAAAATAAGGCAATAACACCGTCTCTGAGAACGAACTGCAAGTCCTTTTATCTTCCATTCCACTTCGTGGTTACTAAATTACCAAACAACTACTGAATTCGCAATTTAAAAGTCAAATCACAGGATTAGACTGACAGATACGCGTCGGGAGACAACACAACCTGGAGCTAAAATCTACTTTTTTCTGTATAATCAATAACTATTTTGTAATCTTTAAGGATATTATTTGGGATGAATTCAGAGCCTGATGAACGTTTATTTTGTACTTTTGAAAATATTGTAAGCATTTCTTCTTCAGAAAAAGGAAGTACAACCAAAGATTCTAAAAATTTCGAAGTTTTGCAGTTTTTGGAATTTTAATTTTTTTTTAGACGTTTGATGACTGACCAAGGTGTTTTACATTTATTTTCCGAGTTTGAAATAATCTGATCATTATGGTTCTTTTTTGATACCCATGTTTTTGCGCCTTATAGTTTTTTTTCAGCTGAGGATATTCTTTTTGAAGAATAAACATATCGCTCAATTGGGTGCTAGATGTTTCTGCTTATTTGTTCTATTTTGTACTTTAATTGGAAATGTCCTGTTCCATAACCTTCAATGAGCTGAAATGAACAATTTTGGAGATATTTACCACTTCATTTTCAATAGTTTATAAGAATTGCAAAGATGTTTTCCAATACATTCATTAATTATTGTCCATGTCCGTACTCTCTAAATAATTGAAAATTCAATCTAAATGTATTTTGCAGTTCATTCATGACAAAAAGATAGAATTGGACGACGGAAAGCCATACATACCCAACCTAAACTCAGTGTCTAACAAATCCAGTGATAGTCCATCTACCAATAAGAACAAAACAACGCCCAACAAAAATCATTCCATATCGAATTCCAATAAATCCAGTCGATCTACTTCGAACTCGAATAAAATCGTTCAGTCTCCGGCAGTGAAAAATTCCTCGAACAAGGTAACAAAAACTAACAGTTCAAGTACACCGAATTCGAGGGGCTCCACACCGAATTCCAAGAGCAATTCTACTCCGAACGGGAATAGGAGTGGGGGAACTCCGGTGGTCACTAAAAATTCCGGAGCGCGAGGAAAGAGTAAAAGGATAAAGGGCTCGTCCAGTTATTCTGCAGTGACCTCTGCTCTCAAGGATGATTATTCTGATGCTGAAGTTGAAGCTGAGGAGGACGTGAGTATTTCATTCCAAGTTGCCATCATATAAATGGATATTTAAAATTTCTCAGTCAGTTTTTTGAGGACCTCCAATTCATCAATTTTTCTTTCATTCTTGAGATCTAAGAGTAAATATGGTGTATGCTCCTAATGTCGGAAAGTTGAACATATTCACTGTTTCTAGATGAAATTTGATGGGATAATTCCTCACTTTCAATTAAATATGCACCGCCTAATAAATACTGTATTTTTTTATAAATATCACTTATGTTTGAAGATCTTCTAAGGTCCAGTGTCCCTCAAACACAGTAGAGACAGTGAAAATAAAAACGAAAAATGGATCAAACCAATCAGAAAAGATTGATTTATCAACAGGGTCGGTTATCTGTCAAACTATATCACAAAATCTAGAGTGTCTAAAAGATCTGACGTTAAGAGTTTTTTTTTCTTCAAAAAGTGAGGACATACCCTCAAGTGTAAACATATTCTTCACAGAATCCCAAACAGTAGCATATCACTGAAGGCATATTCTTTTGTTATACTATTTTCTTTGATGTATTTGAAATAGCAATAATTGCCATGCATCCATAACTGACAAGATATCCTCATATACTCACCTATGTTCATGTAAAGGAAACACATTTTTCAATTATTTCCATTCAAAAACCAATCTCACTAGTAAACCTATTCAATATTTAAAACCATGTTTAGAACTAACGTTATATATTCAGAAATTATGACAATTCGAGAATGTCAGTGGGAACAGTCCTAGAAATCAAGGAGTCGTGGATAGCGACAATAGCAACAGCCCCGACGACAACGTGCCGCTTTCAGTACTCTTTTCTCAAGAAACCCATAACTTTAGGAAATGAAGGAAGTAGAAAATTAGTGTAGAAGCCCAAGGAATTACATGGATATCAGTAATAAGTATGACATGCAGGACGAAGGGTTATGAGGAGAGATTACGAAAAATGGTAGTGGATGTAAAAATCGATAGTGTAGTTCAGACAGTTGAGAGATTGTTTGATAAAAACGTTAAGCAATGAAACCATCATGCCTCACAAAAAAATAACCATAGTTTTGTGGTAACCGAGGCCGACATAAAAATCAGGATAGAAATTCTGCTGCTTACGCCCGAGAACCCATGTACTGGAGCGTTGACGGTGAAGTTTCGATACCATGTCTAGAATTGAATTTCAAGAAATAAAGAGGTACATTCACTTCTCTGACGATACCCAACTGGATTGTGATGCAATTTCAAAATATTAAACACTTTTTTGTAGTATTCAAAATTTTGAGTTTTTTCCTATGCACCCTCCCATCGTACTCATTTGAGTACACCAATTTTTTCCAAAACCCTGCCAGAAATATTTTTTTCAATATTTTTCCTAGTGTTTGTGTTACTAGGAGGGGCTAATGGGCTTATATCACAAAAAAAATTTATTTCATAATTCGAAAGAACTCACCCAATATAGCTCACCACCGCAAAGCGTTTCTTGCTGTGAGCTCCCTACGTTTTATAAAAAATTATTGAATTCCCCGATTTTTCGGACCTCCGAAAACGAGGCGATGATGTGACGTCAAAACCCTTATACTGAAACAAGACTATTCCAGACAGAGATGAATGATACATGATTTCTGATAGAGTGAATTAGCGCGGATCACAGTTGAAAGAATTGATATATCAGTTGCCTCAGTCTCCGGCGGGCGTTTGGTATTTTCTGAGGTTTCTACGTCATAAGAGGGTCCGTTTTCAGAAGGTACTATTATTTATGTCCAAAAATAAAACATTCCAGTTGATTTTTCGTTCGAATTATGTCGTCAATCATTATTTATGTATAATAGGATCATTATAAACATGGTTTGAGTTAAAAGTACATGCCCATTATAACAAAATACCTATGAATATAAGGACAAAATATTCGTGGGAGGTAATCGGTCAAAAGGCGATTAATGATCTCGAACATTAACGCGCTCGCTTTGCTCGCACGTTAAAATATTTCAATCATTAATTGCCCTCATCAATACACTAGTTGGTTAAATAACTATTTCCGTCGACCTCGTATTAAAGACTAAGTGTAATGTATATGAAATCGTTCAATAATGACCCCTATTGATGAACGATTTGTCTATTAATGCAGATTGTTTTAAAGGCAACCAAACATACACCGCGTGCATTCATTGTTTATGCTATAACTTACGGAATTTGCATTTAAATCGAAAATATGGATTTCATCGAAGATTTTCCGTTAACCGGGTTCGCCTTTCCCAAGTTTCTGAAACGATTTTGATCCCTGTTTTCTAACACAAGGAATTTATTTTCTATGTTGATCATTTTGACAAATGTCACTAATGTCAGTAACAAGGCTACTGGGTGATTCTTAGTAGTTTCCGGATGAATGAAGAATTATTCGCGAACCAAGTTTTCTTCATTGCAGGAGAAATGAGAAATATTATCGACGGAAAAATTTTATAACCAACTCGCATATTGAAAGGCGATTAATGATCTGGACCATTATCGCGTTCGCTTCGCTCGCATGTTGAAATATCAATCATTATCTCCCTCATTAATACACTAGTTGGTTGAATAACTATTAGTGTTATGTCAATGTGATTGTCATTCTGGAAAATAAAGCCTCGTTCCATTCAATTCCATCCTCTCGATAGCCGCGCGCCGCCGATCCCGCCAATCTCGCCAACCCCCAATGGAAGCTGTTCGAGGCGGTGCGGACGGCCGTCGGCGGCAACGGCGTCGCCCTCTGCGAGCCCTTCTGGAAGCTGCCGTCGCGACGCTTCTATCCCGACTACTACAAGGAGATCAAGAATCCCGTGTCGCTCGGCCAGATCAGAAGGAAGTTGGCCGCGAAGGCGTACGGGACATTGAGCGAGGTGGCCGGGGATTTGACGGTGATGTTCGAGAACGCCAAGATCTATAATATCGCCACGTCGAAGTTGTACAAGGTAATTTGTTTTTTCTGCTGCAACCGACACAAAAGTCGTCCATTTCGATACCAAAATTAGCTCTTAAATTGACGTTTCTACTACAGACACAAAAATAAATATTGTAATGATATTTCCCTTAGAGGGGCTTTCTAAACATCATCAGTAAGACAGGAGTACAACGATCATCCTGTATCACGCATCCTAGATTGTTCTCCAACCTCCCAATGATTTCTACATACACCAGCATATTTCCGAACACTCAATATATGCCGCAGTGACAAATAACGTCACAGAAGATTCTGGAATGTTCTGGAAACAATCGATGGAACAATTAGAGAGAGAGGTTTTGTTCTAAGAAGCTTCTAGAACAAAAAGAATGAGACGGAAGATCATTCGAGAACGTTCTCGAACCAAAGCCTGCCAAGTGATCTCATATATAAACGGCCGAACAACTGCTGTCAGTCAGTTAAGCAGCGAGTGTCAGAGAGACAGTTATATACCGCGTGATATAAATCGTTTTACATAAATAGTAATTATAAGTTGGATATAAATTAGTGTTTCTTTAGTTCAAATAAATCCGTTCGAAAATAAATAGTGTCGTGTTCGCTTCTGCGCCCGAATAACGTAACAGTATGTTGCTAGGCAAAATTCGCTTGTCAAACAGATCCTAATGAAACAATCCACTATTTTTTACTATTAACCCTTTCAGCCCTGGAGTTTTACTTACGGAATAAAATTATTTCGATGGTCAATTATTGATTCAATCCCATACAAGAACTTCTTCACCAAATATCAACTGTTTTCCACCATAGGTATAGAAACCGGGAAACCGTGGCAAATGCCACTACCAGGTTCAAAAGTGACAGAATTTTTTTTTTCTTTTTTTTTATCGCTTGGAGCGCACGAAAGGGAATCCCTATAATGTTCAAAGAACATCGTGCGTTCCTAGGGAGGATAGGGATAGGAGGTAGGTATTGGAATTTTTTTTGAACTTCTGGAGATGATATGTTGTTGGGAATACTTCCTCAGGCAATGAATTCCAGAGCCTAGCCGTTCTATGGATAAATGAGTTTAGATAAAGTGCTGTTCGACATCTTTCGAGGTTGACAACGAAAGGATGTGCTGACTGGGCTTGTCTAGTTCGTCTGACTGGTATTGCTAGTGAAGGGATAATAGCAGAGATTTCCGAAGCACATTTCCCGTGGAAGTATCGATAGAAAAGTGAAAGGTCGCCGACCTTTCTACGGTGTTCCAATGATGTCAAAGAGTGAGTGAGTGTGGCGTCACCCACCAGGCGAATGGCTCTTCTCTGGATGGAATCTAAGAGCATCAGCGTATGTTTTGGTGCTGAACCCCATATGTGGGAACAGTATTCTAGAACAGGCCGTATCTGCGCTTTGTAGATCATGAGAAGCTGTTGAGGTGTAAAGTAGCTTTTCGCACGGAACAAGAATCCGAGTTTTTGTGAAGCAGCTTTTGCGATGGATCTGACATGATTATCCCATGAAAGAGTATTGCTGATGGAAATACCGAGCATAGATATGGTGGGCTTGGTGGAGATGGTGGTGCCAGACATTACAATGTCGGGCATACTGAGTTCCGCTTTTCTTGAGAAAATACAGGCTTGAGTTTTGGTGGCGTTGAATTCAACTAGGTTGTTGGTTCCCCAGGCTGTGATTTCAGCAAGGTCTTCATTGACAGCATTGACCTGCCTGCGCCGTGAGTTCTTAGTTTCCTGGGAAGAAATGGGAATTCTGGATGAGAAAGCAGTATGGAGGGTACTATCATCTGCGAAGCTGTGGATGGGGCAAGTTGTTACTCCCAACAGATCATTGATACGAAGAAGGAATAATGTTGGTGCCAAAATTGATCCTTGTGGAACTCCGGAATTGATGCCAAAGGTATCAGACGATACACCGTCCACCACCACATGAAGCGATCTGCCTGAAAGAAAACTCGATAAGAGATGGCATAGCTGAGGTGGTAAGCCATATGATGGTAGTTTGTGGAGGAGTCCTTCGTGCCAAACACGGTCAAATGCTTTCGATATGTCCAACGCGACAGCTAGAGATTGCCCGTATTTTTCCAATGAAGCTTGCCATAAATGGGTGACGTAGGCAAGTAGATCTCCAGTAGTGAAAGTGGTAACTCAAAGTCATTGTGATCCTTTGATATTTGGCAGAAATTTCACGACACGCGCCAGTATATCAATAAATTACTTCCTCATGATTTCTTCTTCATTTTTTGTAACATTCAGAACGAGAACCTGTTCATAGAAATCTTTCCAGCACGCCCCTCTGGACGGTCAAGGTTGAACTGTATTATGTTCAAACACGGGATATACGGCACGCTTAAATGAAACACCTTTTAACTCCACCCGCTGATTGTCACGCCACAACTGTCTAAATTTGTCATACATCCAAACAATGACTCAACCCCGTTCACCAAAGTCGTTATCACCCGATGAGTCAGTTGTGTATGCATCATTGTTTTGTTAGATAATCTGTGTTTACATCTACTATTAAAGTACGGTCTTTGCAAAGTCACTTGAAACCCCGAAAAATAATATTTTTTTCTGTGACGGGAGTTATATTCCATATTCCCAGGGAACCCATGGGAAATAGGCTACATCATCGATTCCGCAACTCAGCACTTCGAGGCGTTCTCACCAAAGGCGAGATAGATTCCAGGAATTGAATCAGCAACTTTTATTTCACATTTTTATAATTCATTTCTCACGTAACTCAGGCTTGGCTGAATATTTGTACTTTTCACATCAAATCAACTTGTGTATACCTTTGTATCGAGAAATAAATGTTTTTTTAAACCAAACTTTAGACGAGTTATAAAAGTCTGAAAAAAAATTCGAAATTTCATTTCTGTCAAAAATTTCAACATGTTCATCGAATTTCAATCTGGAATCTCTTTGAATGCCTAGAAATTTTGTATTATTGGTGTTTTCTATAACATTATCACTCATGACTAGCTCGTCTAATTCACTTTTAAATTATAACATATTGGTATTTCTCAAATTCATCACCAACTGATTTGAATCGCAATATTTTCAACCTCAGGCGTCATCTTTGATAATATCAAGAAGTGTTTCGGTATTTTCATCATGCCAGAAAATACTTGTATCATCCAAGAACAGCGTTATTTTTCCTGATATGTTAGCTCTGTCAATGTCTTTTATGTAGAGTAAAAAAAAACTTATTAATGTCATATTATATTTTTTCAGGACGCTGTAAAACTTCAAAATCTGATGCAGCTCAAAGTTCAAGAACTACTTGATGTCGATCAGGTAACACAAAGAGTCACTAACAAAAAAACAAAGGTATGCTACTGCACTGCTTGTTTCGACTAATTTATGTGTTTTTGATATAACAATTTTTGTGTTCATCATTCTGTCAGCTATATAAAAAAATATAATTATTCTCTTTTTTAATTTCATCTCATGATAACATTTTGAATGTGAACATTACAAAACAGAATTCATACAAAAATAATATTCTACTGTTATAAACTTGAATGAATGGATTCCATTCCATTACATTCTGCAAATAGAAATATACCGTTCGTGCACACAAGGGTTGCAATGACTTTGAAAAACGTCAAATTTTAAAAAACTTGATAGTTTTTTCAGCCTCATTTTGAATCACTGTGGTAAATTTGTAAATACACAATCCTTGTGACGTTCACAGTTTTTCAATGAGATGAAACTATTTTCCATAAATCTTTTTTATATAGCTGATGATTGTTTTATTTCTATTCTCTATTTCGCTTAGCACATACAGGGCGGTAACTTTTTCGATGTCTTCTACTTGCTTCTCAAAGTGCCGATTTTGACGATAATATATAGAATTTTCAACGAATCAAGTATTTGAAAATGTATTATTTTCAATGCAATAAAATAAAAAGGTTTGATATGGTCAGATAAGAAAATGTTGGCTGTAAAAACATGAATATTGTGGGTCTAGAAAACTGTAAATGCCCAGCGGATAAATCCATATAAACCTCAATACTAAATTTCAGGACAATTTTGCTTGGTAAGTTGGTATCGTTTCCAGTGAAACCGGAAGTGATGGGATAGTTTAACCCTTTCGGTCACCATGGTCGTTAAAACGAACATGTACTTTTCGTGCCAATAGTAAATTGAGGCGACACCTATCATTCCATTTATACACCACATCAGACGCGAGGGACCTTTATATTCAATGACTGATATAGGTAGCACTATCTCTCGGGGTATTATACAATTTTCGCTTATTTACCTTCTGTGTGTACAGTGAGTCAGTTGTTATTGTTCTTGAACAAATTTCTCGTGTTTGTTTTGATAAAATAGTAAGTGAATTTGAGTTCCAAAATGTATTTTTCAATGCCTCATATGTTCATTATGATATATAAAAAACGAAATGATCTAATATAAATATTTTTTCATGCACTAATTCCAGAAAAATCATATGTACGTTAGAACGAACATGGTGACTCGATGAAGTGGGCCATTTACCAATATTTGATGGAAGTAGGAATGGAGCAAGGTGCAAAAATGGAGCTTGCCTCAAAAAATCACATTTTAATTGTATGAAATGTAGTGTACATTTATGTATTACTCGTGATCGTAATTGTTTCAAGGATTACCATATGAAATACACCACAATGTTGTAGCTATTTATTTCCTTTCCTTCTCGTTGAGTCACCATGTTCGTTGAAACGAACATGATTTTTTTTAGAAGAATCGAGGCCGTACGGACTTTAAAAAATTCTCAATAATCATATAAAAAATCACTTCAACCCCCACTTTCACGAAAAATTTTTTACTGAAAAAATGAAAAGTCGTGACTGAAAGGGTTAAAAACATCGAGTTTTCAGATCAATAACCTTGCTAAGTTTGAATCCCAAAATCTCATAGAAATATAATCATTTTCTTCCTCATATCACTTGATCTGTGGAGTTTTTTTTTAATGTTATTTGAAAAAAATATAGATAAGCCACATTCTTGGTCTCGAGATTTTGTTTACAAATTAACTGAGGTGGTCCAAATAAACTTCGAACTTTTAGCGTTCCACGCTGCACATTATCAAAGTTACCACTCTGTATATAACTATGCTTTGGACGCTTGCTAATGCCATTAACCTTGACGTCATCCAACACATTCCATCGCATATAATCCGGGTGGGTTTTTCTTTCTCTTTCCAGTTGTTCACGGAAAACTCGAACGACACGCCGGCCAAACGGAAACCGGGGCCGAAACCGAAAAACGCCACCCCCGGGCAGACCCCTTTGAGGGGGCGACCGCCCAAGGATTACGTGCCCCTCAAACAGAAGTTGCACAACCTGGCCAAGTACATGTTGGATTATATGGTAAATGGAATTGAAGTTGATGGTTTGATTGACCACATTTTCAAGAGTTAGACATTTTGTATTGTGAGGTTGGTTGCAAACGTGTCAAATGTCAAATGTGAATGGAATCGGCGCAACTATCATGATTATTGTATTACTATAAGATGAAAAACCTGTTGAATTCTCCATGGGCTACTGAACTGAAAGTGAATAATCTTCTATTCCCACTAATGAAGCAAACATTGTCAAGTCACCAACTTTAATCAAGTTATCAAAAAGTTATTGGAGTCCTGTCATTGAATGAAACTACATTCAAATTAAATATATCATTTGACCTGATAGGAGGAAGCCATGATACAGTTATTTATTTGTGCCTTATTCAAATAACCAGCTTGTTCAAATATTTCTTATACTTAATTACAAAATATCATGTAAATGTTGGCTGGATAATTGGCATTTTTTTTATCGCTTGGAGCGCACGAAAGGGAATCCCTATAATGTTCAAAGAACATCGTGCGTTCCTAGGGAGGATAGGGACAGGAGGTAGGTATTGGAATTTTTTTTGAACTTCTTATATGCTGAGAACTGACAAGACAACGCCCACAATCCTTGCCATGTTGTTATTTTTACCGGACCAAATGTCCTCTAGTGTGAATTGATACAATTGTTATTAACACAAATTTATTATTAGCAATAAGCCACAACACTCAAGAGGGAACATTTTGAGACAATGGATTTTTTTATGGCTCATTATGATTATTAATACATAATTGAGAATTTATGAATCATTCAATGAATAATATTTCTCAAAATCCCAATCGTATTTCAACATATGGCAACTGTGCTGCAGTTCCTATTTGCGGTAAATTTCGAGACTTGAAAATTACCGTGGCATTATTGATGATTTTAGGACCTTAAAATCGACACTGGACAAAATCTAAAAAAATATGGAATTGAAAGGTAGTTGAGAATTTGAGGGATGACTATATTTATAAAATTAAGAAAAAAAGTTAAGTCTAGCTTATTATTGGAAATAAGAGGAAGAACAACTTCTCGGACCCTCCGTTTTTAAAACAAATTATAATTCACATTGACAAAAGACAATGCATTCGACAAATGACACAACTTGATAGTAACTACTGCCAACAAATAGCACAAAATGTTGCAACTCTTTCCAACTGAAACATGGTCAATTAGGATCGGAAGTCTACCCACCGTAGAGCTAACACGACGTAGAGGTTATCCAACGTAGACTCAATCTACCATAACCTAACCCAACATAGACCTAACCCAACGTAGAGCTCGCCCGACCGTTTTTTTGAAAAATGTTTTTCAGTAAAGTATTTTCGTCTTAAAAACAATAAATCCATAATGAAAATGTGAACACTCCATTATTTATGGAGATAAGTCAGGAAGAAGTTCGAAATTCGAGTTCATCTTATACCAGGTGGCCCAACAAAGACGATCCACCGCCAAATTAAAATGGACCTGTTCGAGCGGTTTTCATGTCACAACGGAGAAAACTTGGGTGGCGGATCGTCATCGATGGGCCACCCGGTATACTCACGATGTACCTCAATCACGAGTCAAGATTTTTTTTTGTTTTTTCTTCATATTGCGGAAAACAATCACACCAGCTGACGGCCATCAAATTATCAAAGACATACGCTGCATGTCAACAAATGTGGATGTTAACTATTATTCACGAGGAGAAATCTGTTCTACTGGCACCAATGGAAGAAATATCCATATAGAATATCAATTGACTTTTCCTCCCATATTGAGTCCACAAATACAGGCGAATCACACTTACCTAGTACGCGAACGCAGGTGTAACAAAACTAAAACAGGTGCGTTGAAGGCCGCGACATCGGCGAAATTGAGGGAATGTCCCTTCTGTTTCTTTGCTTGAAGGCGGTAAGAACATTCACGAACCAGTGTTGCCGCTGTTTTCGGAAGTTCTTGGCAGAGTTCTTGGTTAAAAATGAGCGTTAAGGTGAATTCCCAATGCAGCGTTTTTGCTTTCCGCGTCGCGCGTCATGCAACCTGATAGGTGACGCTGAATTTCAAAAATATTTGACTAGATAAAGTCGAAATATTTTAACTTTTTGGCGTTGCTGCTTTGTGTTGTGTCGAATTTATGTTTCAGTAACCTTAATAGTCATTAAAGCATTATAAATTCTCTCAACACATCGAGATTTTTCATGAAAATATAGAAATTTTGAATGCAACTTCATTAAACCCTCATTTCTGAGAGTAATCTCATGGTTAGTAAATAATTGCAGTATCACTGAAGTAGGTACCTAACTAATTATCTTATTTTCACTGTGCTGTTTTCGTTTTCTGATGATTTACGTATCTGATGCAGCTCTGAGCTCTGTATATCTTGGAAGCGTTTTACTATATTTCCAATATTCTCAGATATTCTCATGATTTTTCAATGCAAGTTCAACCAAATCGACAATGACAAGTAATTTCATAGGGTACTGAAGAAAATAATAAAAAACAGTGCAGCAATTCTGATTTACTCGTCACCAATCAGAATGCGTGACGCGTGACATGAAAAGCAAGAAAGCTGCATTGGGAACTCACCTTTTATCCTTTCAATTAGTAGAGTGACTGGTGAGCGGTAGAGTCCCTGTATGTATTTGTTAGTTTTGCTGTAATAAGAGTAAGGACACTATGACAAGCAGTGACTGAAGGCATAACTCCAAATTCTCAAAATTACTTTGAAGGTTTGGTTGAACAAAGACATGGATATGCTTTTCCATGCACGTCGGATCTTTTTATCTCTACTGCCGCGGTGTAAGGTACATCCATATATATTTCTCTGTCTTTCTTTTCATAAAGAAGTGGCGTCTCATCATACTGGCCAAAAGGGGTCATAGTTTGTAACTTAAATTATTGATAGGATTTCTTGATATACTTAACAAAGGGTATATATATGTGGAGTCAATTTATTTAATTTTAGGATGCACTAGTTCTTCAATAGAAAAATCAGGATTTAGTAATCAGTTCTGCTGAGCGAAATGTAAATGAATAGGAAGAACAATTCAACCAATTTACAAACTATTTGCTCTCATAAAATACTAAGACACTTTACAGTGCATGATCAATCAGAAAATTCGACAAATACGAGTATAATGTCTAAATAAAGATAACAATCCCGTTGTAGGAAGATTTTGAATTTTCATTTTTAGATGATTCATTCAATACACCAGGCTCGAAATTAATATTTGAAATTCTCCTATTCAAACTTTGTAGCGATGGTAATTGATATTGAAATTTGAGTAAAGTTTCATAACCAGATGAGCCACACCTGAATTTTATGACTAAAGCTTTTTCGGCATTCTGCATCCCATCTATTGCCATTATATTTAGAACTATAAGAAATACGTTGCTCATAAATAGCAACTTTACTTAGAATACCTTGCAATTTGTCATCGATTTCATGGATTCACGTTTTTAAATACTGAAGTTGACTATAATTTTGGTTGAAATATATACCGAAACTATCAATTTGGGTCTTGATTTGATTCAAAATTGCCTGCATTTTTGCATTCGCAGTTTCCTCACAGTCTTCCAAAGATTTTTGATGAGATAGTTCAAGATTTGAAATTAGTTCCTTATAATAGCTGTGAATTCTCGTTACTTGCAGTCTCGTTTCAGTCTTTGTTTCAAGGTATTTTTCAACTGTTCATCCATTTCTTCGATTTTTTTCTGTATTTCTCATCATTCTCTATTAATAAATTTTGAATGTTTGCATATTTTCTCTTCAAATCTTCGATAATTTCTTATTTGTGATCTAAAATACAGTTGATTTGATCTTGGCTTCCTATTTGAATTTTTTCTTGTACAAATTTTTCAGAATTCGATAAAGAATGTCTTCGGTAATCTTTCTGCTCCGCATGTTCTACTATCAAATCTTCAATTTTGAAGTGCGCCTATTATGTTGAATTTGAAATTAGAAATGATATAATTCCTTCGAATATGCATCATATTCTGTCGGAAAATTCAAATATTGAGTGCTTACTTCGCAAATTTTGCTAGCTGAACTCAATTTCCACAATAGTCGCTTCATATTTTGTTTCCATTTCTGTAGGTGTTGTTTATCATGGGGGAAATGGAATAAATGAAATGATTCTCTTCTATTTTTGCAGTTTTCAACTGCACAATTTTAATTTATAATTCAATGTGATGTACGTTCATGAATTGTCAGTGCCCGCCTAATTGGTCATGTCATTCAAATATTTTTAGGGTTATGCCTTCTGTCACTGCTTGTCGTAGTGTCCGTACACTTATTACAGCAAAACTGCCGTATACATTCAGGGACTCTAGTGAGCGGTAACTTTTAGGGTGGGGGGGAGCATCTGCCCCTCTCTGACGCCCTTGACTGGCAAAAACCTGTCGCTATAAACGAGTATCCTTTTTAGACCGAGGATGGTCGTAAACCCATGCTGGCGTTCATGGAGAAGCCGTCGAAAAAACTCTACCCCGGCTATTACAAGGTGATAGCGGAACCGATCGACTTCCTGGAGATCGAGGCGAAAATCAAGGCGGACCAGTACAGTTGCGAGGCCGATCTTGTCAAAGATTTCAAATTGATGTTCAGCAATTGTCGGGAATTCAACGAGGAGAATTCGCCGATCTACGAGGACGCCAACGTTTTGGAAAAGTACCTGATGGACAAGACCGTGCAAATGCAAAAGCAGAGTACGCCGGAGAAGCCCAAGCGAGAGAGGATAGTGCTGAAACCGTAAGTGACTCGCATTTTTGTGTCGGGATATTGGTCGTTCTTAAAAAGTTTGTTGGGCTGAACATTCGAGGTGAAGTTAGTCGAAAAACTGACACCTTTGACTTCCATCATTCTTCATTATTAATTTTTTTTCGATCAAAATTTTGTTTATTTCAAACTGTCATCTCAAAATATGCAGGTGTGGCTTGGTTCTTATGGTCACAGTATGTTCTATGTGTCCTATTAATATGATGCAGATAATTAACATGAACGAATGTTGTTATCAGGTCAAATAGGTAATTAAATGAGATGTTCAATAATCTCTCAAATCATGTAACTAGTTTATTATTTTTACTGATTATTATTTGTTTTTGGTAATGAAAATGAATGTTTTATGTGACTAAGGTGGTTATAAGTATCCTGATGATGTGGAATTTTCAAATACACCGAGTGACAACGAATCTTTGAGACACGCCATAACTTCTAGAATATCAAGTGTATCATCGAAATGAGATTCATTATAGGTGTGGTAAGATATAATTATTCAGTATTCAGTATATTATGGCAACACTGCCTATTCTATGAACTTGTATTGACAAGTGCGTTTTATGAATTAGACATTGACAGTTTGACAGAACAGATGGTGATTTGTGATCATACCAGAGTTTGGGAAAAAACGTTGTTGTACCGAAGTTATAAATTAATGATAAATCATGTAAATAAGTATAGATCAAATGTAATATAGTGTACATAGTATCCTTATTGTTTGAATAAGAAATCACAGAAGAACAAACAACAAGACAATAGGTAAATGGATTTTGAAGAGGAGAGTTTTCACATAGATTTCACCGGAAATTTCTGAAAGAATTCTGGATCCAAATGTGACATTTCCAAGTTTTCACGCCTGCTCAATTTTTTTAGAGTCACTTTCAATATTGCACAAGATTAAGGAACTTTTACTCTACTTGTTGTTTATAAGAGAATAACTGTAAAATATTATGCATCATGGCTATCCATGCCACAGTTGACAAAAGTAAATTAATTATTGTTATAAATTTCCCTAATAATGAATAAGTATCGTTAGAGCCGTCAAAAAATCTTATTTTCAGAAAGTGCTTGTCAAAAAATGATCGCCATTTGAAAAAGGATAGAAGGACACAAAAATTCTATTTTTTCTGTGACGGGAAAAAAGTTTGGCATTTCATCTCTGTTGGCAGGTTATAAAATGTCACTTTTCATAAATTACTTTTTTTCCGTGGGAAAAATGTGAGTTCTTTTTTCCCGGATATATATTACATATATATATATATACTCTGTTAATGGCCTTTGTTGTGCTATAGTTCCGAAAAATTTGTCAATAATACCGTCTCCGAGAAAGAACTGCAAATCCTTTTATCTTCCATTCGACTTCGCGGTTTCGTATATTACTAAACACATCAGATATTTGATTACTTCAAAAGAATGATAAAGATGCCTATAAAACGCAGGTGTCCCTACTACTAAAAACTTGAAATTTCACGTCGATAATTTTCAGATTTCGAAATAATGTAATATCTTTTCAATATTCATTCATTCATTCCTTCTGTCACAGAAAAAAATAGTGTATTATACACGGGAAAAATATTAGATTTTAGCTCACGGTTTTTTGTCTCCCGACGCGTAGCTAAAATCTACTACTTTTTTCCCTTGTATAATAAATAACTATTTGTCAAATCGTGTTATTCCTATCTATCATATTAGTCACTAAAACTTCGCGGTTATAATTTTCTGTGGTCACCTGAGGTCCTTAGATTAGTTTACGTCCGATGATGACTACCTAAATGCAATATCAAAAATTACTCTAAAAATATGAAGTACGCGTATTAACTTTTCAAAATGCCACATTCTGATTTAGAATGGTCTCATAGCGTTTTGCGTGGTCCACTGGCTTTCAAACTTGTGCGATGCTCGCTCGAAGTTCAAGTTTTTGGGAACCGTGATTGTGCGACGGTGTGATACCCATAACCTTAATTATTCGAGTGGAAAAATCACAATGAACTCAATATAAACACCTAGAAGGAAGACTGTCGGTTTCTCGAATAGCACAGAGTGTCAGGGGCTGCTGCAACAAACATAGCTTGTATTACGGTAACCTGTCTCTTTTACGCATGAGTTGATTAATGGCGGATTGGTGTATAAATTTTCTTTTATCCAATGATTGGAGTACTTGGGATCTTTTTTTTTTTCATCTAAACAGGCAAAAAAGTGATGAAAAAACTTCAGTGTTTTTTGTCATGTGAAATATAGCAAAATTTGGCGTGTTTTGTTTCTTCAAAAGAATTTGTTGGTGTGAATTGATTATTGTTGAGAAGATTTGTGATTTCGAATTAATAATCAATGTTTATTTATATTGTGTTGCCTTTGGATGCAAAACAAGCAAGACAAACAGAAATTGTCCTCCATGGGTAAGTTGAACATTGTTCAGATTCTTAGAAAAACTAGTAATGTATTTTCGGGATGTGTCTGAATGTTCATAACTTGGATTCTAAGGACAATGTATTTATATGGACATTGATTTGCTTACATCAACTTCCAGCTCCCATGTAAGTTTCAAAGTTTATTAATAATGAAACCCACAAACTGTTTCATTTCAGAAGGCCTACTCTATTGCAAAGAAAAGTGAAAACACTGAAACAAAAAGTAAAAAGGAGAATGACAATCTTGATGAGGTACTAAAAAAACATTTTGAAGGTAAAAACTACCAGTTCAAATTTTCAAACTCACGAGCTACATCATAATATTGTCTTTTCAGATTTGCCTTTGCGGCTTCTCCTTCTCCAGAAAGGAAAAAATGAAGATGTAAATTCTGGGCGACGCAGATATTCATCTTTAATGAAAAAATTCGTCCTAACATTGTACTTTTATTCGCCTTTCATTCACCTTCTAACAGTGAAATGTTTATGAAAAAATAGGTACTCTTAAAAATTAGGCATAAAATAGACCTTAGGTACTCAATACCATTCAAGAACCTCTTTCAAAATGGTTTCTATCGTTTTTCTATTTCTTCTGATAGTGCTGAGACATTGATGAGCTTCGCTCACCCTGTACAATATATTGTGACATTTGAATGAGAATATATAATTTCAATTTTGTATTCTTTTGCCGTCCTAATCCTGTAAGAATAGAAATGGAATTTCACTTGAGTCAATAAAAAAATCAATAATTATTTTCAAATGATAATTGATTGCAACATTATCCTTTATCCTAAATGAATATTTATATTTCATCACGTATACTTTTAAATGAAAGCAAAAAACAAGAAAGTATTTCAAATAATGCGAGCGGTTCCCATTAGCCAACATAAGAAACAAACAACACCAAAAGAAATAGGTATCCATAACCACTGCGGGTTGCCTGAACAATATTTTTGCCTCACTCGTCGTTCGCAGAGGATCCCTTCTAGGTGTTTACATTGAGTTCATTGGAAAATCATTGATTCAGATACTAGCGATGCTGAAGAGGTTATGACTGAAATACAGAAGAATTTCGTTACGAAACAGCATGCATATACCGAAAATTCAAAATTTGCGGTAGCCAAGGTTATCATCTGACATTTCGATGACATAAAAAAGACGGGAAACATTCCTAATTCCTGGCTTAGATTGCAAAATAGACATAATCCATTTCTTCATGTTCATAATATATTTGAGAATATTCCTTTTCAATACCCTCTATTACTTTTTCCTTAACGACAATATCAAATTGATGATATAAACCTCGAACACGTAAACATACCGACATACAATGGACCTACATATATCCCAAATCTGTTGCTGTTGTCTTGTAAAACAAAAAGAACAAGAAAATTCCGTTCCTCTTACTGAGCTTGCCATGACTTCTTTCCACCATACTTATAACCACCTCGTACGAAACTCGATTTCCAGTAAGTAATTTTGCCAAGTTCCCTTAGGCGTGCAAATAAAACATTTTTATCTAGCTACAAGCCGAGGCGGATCCTCTCCCCCCTGGAGCGCACCCTGAAAAACCTGTACGAAGCCATCAGATACTACAGGGAGCCGAAAGAGAACCGCCAACTATCCCAAATCTTCATGAAACTGCCCTCGAAAATCGACTATCCCGACTACTACGAGGTCATCTCGCAGCCCATCGACATGGAGAAGATATCGCACAAGATTCGCGGTCACGACTACGAAAATCTGGACGAATTGGTGGCCGATTTCGTGGCCATGTTCGAAAATGCTTGTAAATATAACGAACCGGATTCGCAGATCTATAAGGACGCGATGGTGCTGCAGCGGTTCTGCTTCCAGACCAAGATGCAGCTGAAGGAGGACGACAACAATGTACCTGATTTCCTAGCCGCCATACAAGATATTTTTTTGAATTTGTTCACGAACGTGTACAACTATCAGGACGACGAGGGTCGGTGCTATTCGGATTCGATGTCGGATCTGCCGGAGCACGACGAAATCGATGGGAAAAAGTGAGTTGTGGACCGTTGTTCTAAATTAGAACCTAGTAGGCGAGAGGTGTGATTGTTTGTTCATTGAAAAAATAAGCGATAAGCCTTCTCATTGTGCTGTTGTACAATGCACAAACAATGCAGCAAGAGACGAAGGAGTATGATGAGTATGATCCAATCTTCTGCATTATTTTAGAAATTTCACGAGTACTTCTATTTGCTCTTATTGCAGAAGGAATTCCGATGAGAAATCAAAGAAATAACCAAATTTCCAAAAAGGAAAACTATATGTGAGTGACTATAGTAGGTACCTACTTACTTTTAAATCATAATGTACCAACTGGATTCCTTCGTCTTCCGTTGCAGTTTTTGTGCATTGTACAACAGCACAATGTGATGGCATGAGCGAATTAATGAATAGCCTAAAAATACGATAAATATGCCAAAATAATTGTGAAAAACTATTTCAATCACTTGTAAACAAATAAGAAAAGTGAGGTTGTGTTTCAATGTTGTGCCTCCAGGGTCGGTCATCTGACAGTTCTTGCACGCAACCCATAGCAGTGACAGAAGGCATAACCCTAAAACATTTGAAATGACATGACCAATTTGGCGGGCACTGACAGTTCATGAACGTGCATGACATTGAATTATTTGAAAATTCAGTTTTTCAAAAATTAGAAAGGCTAATTGTGTAGTTGAAAACTGCGAGAAAACAAATGAATCATGTAATTTATTCCATTTCCCTCATGATGGAAATTGAGTTCAGCTAGCAAAATTTGCCAAGTAAGTACCTACTCAATATTTGAATTTTTTGATTGAATATGAAATATGATGCATTTTTAATTTCAACTTTAACATAATAGGTGCACTTCAAAAGTCGAGATTTGATAGTGGAACATACCACTAAATTGAAAGAAAATGTGAAGCCTTCATTCTATCGTCAGAAAGATTACCAAAGACATTCTTTATCAAATTCTGAAAAATCTTCACGAGAAGAAATTCAAATAGAAAGCCAAGATGAAATTAAATGTATCGTATTAGATCACAAACAAGAAATTATCGAAGATTTAGAAAGATAATTTGCCAAAATTAAAAATGTTTCAATAGAGAATGATGAAAAATACAGAAAAAAAAGGATGAACAGTTGAAAAATACCTTGAAACAAATGAACTCTGAAACGAGACTGCAAGTAACGAGAATTCACAGCTTTTATAAGGAACCAATTCCTGGTCTTGAAGTATATCTCATCAAAAATCTTTGGAAGCCTATGAGGAAACTGCGAATGCAAAAATAAAGGCAATTTTGAATCAAATCAAGACCCGAATTGATAATTTCAGTATATATTTCAACCAAAATCATAGTCAACTTCAGTATTTAAAAACGCGAATCCATGAAATCGATGACAAATTAGAAGGTATTCTAAGTAGAGTTGCTATATTTATGAGCAACATATGTATTTGTCGAATTTTCTGATCGATCATGCACTATAGGGTGTCTTAATATTGTTAATTGGTTGAATTGTTCTTCCCATTCATTTGCATTTTGCTCAGCAGAATTGACTCTTCTATTGAATAACCAGTGCATCTATATCGAAGACTGGAACCTTTAGCACGATAATTCACTACACTCGTGTTTCGAGGTGTAAAAAATCGGTTTGGTTAGTGGTAAAACGGTGTGTAGTGAACTAGTTCATCCTAAAATTAAATAAATTTACTCAACATATACCCTTTCTTCAGTGTATATCGAGAAATCCTATCAATAAAGTAAGTTACAAACTATGACCCCTTTTCGCCAGTGAGACGCCACTTCTTTATGAAAAGAAAGACAGAGAAAGATATATGGATGTACCCTTCACCGCGGCAGTAGAGGAAAGAAAATCCGAAGTGCATGGAAAAGCATATCCATGTCTTTGTTCAACCAAATACATACAGAGACTCTAGTTGAAACATTTTGAGTGTATAATGAGTGAATATTTTATGAATGTAACATTGAGGTACTTGCTTATGAATTCATTTTTAAAAACTGAAAAGTACTTATGTGACTCAAGAAGAATCTCTTATCTTCTGGAAGTCATTGCATGTTACCTCAAATTCACGTCATTGTTGAACAAGGAGTGTTAAAGAATTCACATACCACCACCTCTTGTTGAAGTGCAAAATAGAACACTAAAATCAAACTCACAAATGAACGAAACGAAGCAAAAACAAACGAGTTTCAAATTATACAGGTAGTGAAAAAATATACTCCACTAAAGGTGGATTCATGCAAGCAAAATTTAAAACTTAAATGAATTTTAAACTTTAATCAATAATATAAAACTATGAAATGTAATGTACGTGCTCATGCAAGAAACTAAGAAATTAATTTCTTCCATAATTTACGACAGCGCATGCGCCAAATAATAACTAGCCGCGCTACAAAAAGACTAAACAGCTGATGAAAGGTTATTGCATGAACACACATATATTTTTAATTCAAAATTCGTTTGAACCTTGAATTCATTATAACTTAGTTGATGTAGCATGCCACCTTAACATTCGTTAGAACCTCAAAATTAAATTCAAAATTGTAATTCAGGTGACCTCGGAGGTGAAGTTGGTCACAACAGCGCAAACACAAACAACAGTCACAAAAAAATCTCTTATCTCTGGTTGAGTACTGTAGTTATAAAAATATAGAAGAAGAAAACTTCATCCTAAAATTTCAATTGAAATAAATGAACTATTGAGATATTTCAGTAAGGGACGGTTTATCAATCATGAGATGAAAACTGCATGCTAGCTGACTGAACTTACTGTTTGTCATAATTGTTCATCCACTGCATATATGCATATGAGACACCGTGTTGTAGGAACAGTGTTCGGGTGTACGTAAATGAAATAGGCACTTCTACAATGAACAGCGAGAACAACCACTTTATTCTATCAAGGATAAACGTAGACTGACTAATACAATTCTCTCTTATATCACCTCAACCTTAATCATCTTCCAGAAACATATGAATCACAGAACGATAACGATGATCACATACCTAACAATAATAATAATAGTAATAATAAAATACAAAATCGACGCAAATGCTCACATGCATGTGCATAATGCCTAATGATTCCTGTGACAACATACAAATTAAATGTTGTTCGTGTGATAAATATCAGTATTGAATTCAACAATTTGATTCTATAATCTGTGTTTCTGGCCTATCTGATTCGATCTGTTGGAGTTTCTCGTCCTATTTTATTCAGGATCATCAACACTCAGGGTTATGAAAAACAAATACTTCTCGAACTTTTACTTTCATCTCAAGCTTAAGTAGCAGATACTTTATCAGTTTCAGTGAAGTGTGAGAATGATGAACATTTGAAGTAGAGGTTGAGCCTTAGATTGATAAACCGACTTCGGGACCGACTCTATATGATAGGCAAACATATTTTGGGGTACTGCTAGGTTTTCAGTTAGAAAGACAGTGGGTGAACGTAGTATTTATATATGTATAGCTATTGATTGATTGTCTTTATTCCCCCAAGTAACAATATTGTTTATAATAGGGATATAATATACAACAATACATACATATAACATAATAAATCAAAACAATAATAATTGCACAATTATTGTTTTTCATAAAGAAATATAATAAAATATAAAATCAAAATATAAGCCATTACAAGTAATCAAATTGTGAATGATTAGTAGATATGGAATTGAAGTTTACTGAGCAGATATTTCATTAATTTGATTTTATATTTTTCTGCTGCTTCTATATTTTTCAACTCATTAGGTAAGGAGTTATATAAAATTAATCCATTATGGAATATTGATTGTTTACCAATATTTGACTTATGATTATGCTATCATTGATTAAATCGCCTTGTTTCATGGGCGTGAATCGTATTAACTTCATTTGATATGTTCAATTCCTTCCTGACAAAATGAATAAAACAACAAATTCTGAGTGTATACAGGGTGTTTCCTAACTACGGTTCCTAACTGCAGGTGGTGATTTGTTAGGTCATTTTAAGAAGAAAAGTTTCTATGAACATATGTCCGGAGTTGCTTCGTTTCTGAGATACAGGGCGATGAAATTGAAGAAAAAAAACGGTAATTACAAAATATCATGAATATCCTGGAACCGATTTGGTTGAAATTCAGTACTTTTATTTCAACTAATAAGGCGCTCATTTAGCCCTATTCAGATTGGAATTATTAGGGCCAGTGGCGTCTCAGTGGGCACCAGAGCCAACAATATTTTAAAAAAAAGTACGCCACTGACTTTTTTGGTAAATTTTAATTTTTTTTTCAGATTAAGCAACTCAAAATACAACTTTTTGATCTCCTGTATCTTCTCCATATCCAGCTTCGTTTTCGAGAAAAAACATTAAATCCACTGTATTGCATATCATGAACACCTGCATTGGAGAAATGAGTTTTTCATTATTTCTGCCAAAAATATAATTGACACTTGATATGCGAAAATTTTAGAAAATTTGACGAATAAAAGTACCAAATTTCAACCAAATCGGTTCCAGGATATTCATGATATTTTATAATTACCGTTTTTTTTCAAGTTCAACGCCCTGTATCTCAGAAACGAAGCAACTCCGGACATATGTTCATAGGAACTTTTTTTCTTAAAATGACCTAACAAATCACCCCCTGCAGTTAGGAACCGTAGTTAGGAAACACTCTGCATAATGAAACTAAATTCAGCAAGTCTTCAAGTTAGTATAGATTTACAGTTGATTCTAAAGAAGGTAAATTGAAAATGCCCTTCATTGTTTTATTTTGTAATGTCATGAGTGGCTTCTAACGTGAAATATTTGTACTTCCCCAAAAAGATATTAGATATTGTAAATTTGAATTAAAAAGACAGAAATAAATACTCTAGGTATCTAACAGCAATGAAATTTCGTATTTTATATATAATACCAGCAATAGGATTCAATTCTTTCCTCAAATGATCTATATGTCCACGATAATTGTTCATCATTATAAAGACCTAAAAGTTTTGTTACATTTGTATATTCGATGGATTTGTTATTGAAACATATTGGGGTATTATTCAATATATCCAAATTCCTTGTCTAACGATAAAGTTAATTTCGACTCATCCCCCCCCCCCTTCACTGCTCTTGCAGGATACGAGCTCTCTCCTTGGACCTGCTCAAGCGCCGCTTGGACAAAGGCGTCTACAAACGCTTGGACACCTTCCAAGACGACTTTTTCGCTTGCATGGAACGAGCTCGCCGATTATCGCGCACCGACTCGCAAGTCTTCGAAGATGCCGTCGAGCTGCAAATGTACTTTGTGCGGCAGCGCGACGAGCTGTGCAGGAACGGGGAGCTGCTGTCGTCGCCTGCTTTGTGTTACACGGAGGCGGACGCTAGAGCGGCAATCGAGCAATTGAGGCAGAGCAAAGCGTTGAAGGAGTCGTTGGAGGAGGAGGGGGAAACACGCAGCTCGGATGCCAGCGGGTGAGTGATTTTTGTAGCCTTCCGGCGGGCGCAGTGTTGCCAGAAGAAAAAAAGCTAATTGATGAACGATAATTTAAATTTCTCATTGTCAGAAATGACTTCACAACTGACTTGACAACATCATATACAGGGTGTTTCACAGGTAAAGGGAAATATTTCAATGGTAGATAGGGGTCACCAAGGTGGTTCTGAAAATACCATATTTGATAGGTCTTAGAGTTTTCATAACGGAGATACAGGGTGATTTATCGATTTCGAATAATTATTCATTTATCTATAAGTATTGAACTACCCAGTATATTTTTCTAAAATTTGGTATGGAGCTTAAACTTGGGACGTTGAATTCATTCACCTATCGGGCGAAGTGAAAATCCAGATTCGGCTTCAGGAAAAATTCACATTTATTCGAAATATCAAAATAACACACTGTATTTAATAATTGACAAAGTTCATCAAAGGAATCGTGAAGAGGAGGAAAAACTGAACTGGATTTGATGCTTTTTGTTTTCCCGCCACCAGTTCTCATCGTAACAATCATAAACAGGAAGCTAAAAGTATGTCAATTTCAACAGTATTAAAATTATGAAACCACTTTCAATTATGATTCTTTGATATATTCTTGTTAAATGATCGTTCGAAAGAACTCACTTAGTCTCACAGTCTTTATAACAGAGATACAGGGTGAATTACCACTCGTCCATAAGTATTAAACTACCCATCGCACTAATATTTTCTCAAATTTGGCATTGAGCTTACTTGGGACGATGGATTCATTAACCTATCAGGCAGAATGGAAATACAGGTTCAGCTCCAGGAAAAGTCTCATAGTCTTTATAACAGAGATACAGGGTGAATTATCGAATTATAATTCCGCCTGATAGGTTAATGAATCCATCGTCCTAAGTAAGCTACATACCATATTTGAGAAAATGTTACTGGGTAGTTTTATACTTATGGACGAGTGAATAATTATTCAAAACCGATGATTCACCCTGTATCTCCGTTATAAAAACTGTGAGACTTAGTAAGTTCTTTCGAGCGATTTTTTGACTAAAATATATCGAATAATCATAATTGACACTGGTTTCATAATTTCAATACTCTTCAAATTGACATACTTTCAGCTTTCTGTTTATGATTGTTACGATGAGATTTGGTGGCGGGAAAACAAAAAGCATCAAATCCAGTTCCGTTTTTCCTCCTCTTTACGATTCCTTTGACTGTCAATTATTACATACAGTGTGTTATTTTAGTATTTCGAATAAATGTGAATTTTTCCTGAAGCCGAACCTGGATTTTCTCTTCGCCCGATAGGTGAATGAATTCAACGTCCCAAGTTTAAGCTCCATACCAAATTTTAGAAAAATATACTGGGTAGATCAATACTTATAGACGAATGAATAATTATTCGAAATCGATAAATCGCCCTGCATCTCCGTTAAGAAAACTCTAAGACCTATCAAATATGGTATTGTCAGAACCACCTTGGTGACCCCTATCTACCGTTGAAATATTTCCCTTTACCTGTGAAACACCCTGTACAAAAAAGTGTTAAAAATTTAATGAAATAAAAAATATCACATCAAGTACATAGCCAAAAAGTGATATCCTTAAATAATGGCTAAGAAGATACACAATATATGCAGCATCATCCATAATAAAAGATGACTGTAGTGACAGTTGAAGTTGATGATGTCTCTCATTATGGTCAGCCAGCTGGTTGGCTGATATCCATAAGCAGCTCAGTCAGGCCAACTGAAGAGATAATGAGCAGATGATCTGCCAGTCATCCACACTTTTGTTTTTATTTGTAGCTACATGTAATAAATGTTCAATTGTACTAAACTTGAGCTGAATGTACTGACCAAAACATGAAATTGTACCAGAATTGGGTGAAATGTACTAATGTACTAAATGGTATGAATTGTACTGAATCTATAAAAATGTACCAGCTCTGGCAACACTGGGCGGGCGCGCTGTCGTTTACGACAAACGCGCCTACTGAGTTCCATTACTTTTATGAGTCGCCAGCGTCGAGTTATAGTGTCTCTTCAAACTACAGAGTCGTTGGATTGTTGATGTAGTTCTGAAAACAAACACGCTACACTATTTCGGCGAACTGTGTTGTTTTTAAATCGTTCAAATCAAACACTGGTTGATTCCGACGAACTGCTATCGGTTCACTTTCCGGAAATGTAGGTCCAATTTTTTATACAAACCGTCACTACGTACTACAAATACGCTTGGTTTCACCGACAACGCTAACGAACTTTCTGTGCTATATCACCGAAATATTTCGGGCCGATCTGGTCAGAGAAGCCAGGGCATAAGTTCCCTCACTTTTGAGTCGCCAGCTTCTCTTTGAACTACAGAGTCGTTGGATTGGAGGAAGAGGGTGGGGCATGTAGATTGAATGCTAGTTGATGACATTTTTGAGCTTCTTCGAACTACAGACGTATCGGGTATGCACAAAAGTGTTACCCATTGATATTTGGAAGAAGAAGTGTTATCCTTCTCATACCGTCACAATTTTGCAACATATATGTGGAGAAATCGATAAATTGAATAAAGAGAACCAGGTATATTAGGTCTACTAGCAAAAAGATCTCCTACAAAATACATGAAGCAATCACAATATTATTTCTTGCGATATTATTCTACCCCGTTTTTCAGCGACAATTTAATTCATGTATGAAAAATCCCAAAAGCTGCTACGATTTTGTTATGACAGCGACAAAACTTTGTCTAAGTTTTCCTGCTACAAAACGGAACCTATCATTTGAAAGCATGACCACCAGAATTGTGAACGAATCTTGATGGCGTTTCTATAAATTTTTCTCAATCTTGCGTTTCGTTACAAGTTTCTAATTTGGAATTGGAAATGCCGCGATTTGGAGAGCCATTGAGTAGAGAAATTGGGAAAACCATCAACAATAGTGTGATTTACTTATTAATTAAATTGGCTCACCCAATTTCACCTGGTTATTTTTTTTTTGTTGAAATAAACTTGAAATATACAGGCTGATCACTGTGATAACCACTACACTGCTCAAGTTAAAGGACACATAACTTTACTTATTGTCGAACATTTTCACAATCCATGCATTGACGAACCATAATAGACTATTAATAATTGTCTTCATACAGTTTTATAACAAGAAAACACAGAAATTCAATTGAAACACAAAAAGTCCTAAAATGGTGACAAACCCAGCACCCACAACACTGTAAAGTCGACTCTTGACATACGTGAATGACTGAAAAAAATATGCGTCACTTCTAATAAACACGCCAATACAGCGTTGCCACATTTATTTCCATCCCTACTAATATTATAGATGTGAATGCAAGTTTGTTTGTCGGACTTATGTGAAATTCGAAATTTTTCAATTTTGGTAGGACAAATATACAACTTGTCCCAACTGACTTCGTAAATACTATATATGTTCTCATTTCCAATGAATTCCTGTATAACAACGGAACAAACCGTTCCAATATCGGACTAAAGTTATTATTTTGAAAGAAGATGGAATACTCAGGTGAAACAAAAACATTTATCCATCAGCTCACATTGTACAAACCAAAAGAGATGTATTTTCTTATGTGTGAAACTATATTTGATTTGGTCCGATAATTCTGTGAAGAATAGTGCTTTAATATTCACATGAATAAGTTGGACATAGGTATTCGAGCTGTGAAAATAATTGTCCAGGATCTTGCACACTAAACACTGACGAACCATTTCGCACTGAATTCGAATTTCGCAACGGCTACGAGAAATGCCGAACACTTATCAGTGAATAGGAAGGTGAATGACGGAGATAAATATGCGAAATTATGGTCAGAGTATCAAAGGCATGTCATCGATTTATTCAATGAATATTTTGTACTTGTGCTTACAAAGAACCTAACTAACAGGTGATAGAGAATAGTTGTGAGTTCAGGATTATTTGGTGATCAATATTCATGGATTTCCTGCTGGTCAAGCCCTACAGTCCTCAGGAACATGCAATAAGACACCATTGTCTTGATCGTCTAAAAAAAATACGTTTAAGTTTAGAAGAAAACCTGCGTGTACTAAATGATTCAGTTAAACATATAAAACGCCAGGAATCGATAGACTATTGAAGAAAAACAGTCATTTGAGGACATTGTTGATATTTATCTCCTTTTAGCAATATTTTGGAGAGTTTTATCGGATCCTGAAGTTCTAGTATCTACAGTCAGATGCAATGAAGATGTCGCACATAGACGGTTATAGCACTTCTACAATAAGAGCGCTAACATCATCCAACCGCGACATATTCTTTGCATCTGACTGTCCTTAACAATGTTTCACATCAATTAAACATCAATTTACTCTTGAAAACTAAAAACAATCACTCTGTTACATATTGAACCCATATATCGTATTCCTGCGAATGACTGGAGGTACACCTTTTGAACAGTGTTGCCAGACTGGGCTCACCGCGCCTTTCTTTTTTAAAGATGGCTATGTCTCATCGCACATTATTCCTTATAACTTCGCAGATATTGAAGGGGTCCAAAAAGTATAAATTTTCAAACTTGCCCTATAACTCATAAACGGAAACACAAAAACCGAGTAACCGGGCAGTCTCAACTAGTCAACAGGATGGGCCTCTTACATTTGAACCTCCTTCGAACTCTTTCGTTCTAAGAAATATAAAAAAATGTTGAATACAAAGATTGTTCCAAACGACCCAAACTAATATTTCGTAGAGTCGTAATTCTCGTAATGTATTTACTGTTTACTTTCTAGATTTATGTGAATCATTGGCACTAAGCATTCATGGAATTTTTAATGGAATTTTATTTCATTGGAGTGTCGATATTTCAACATGTTTTTAAAAATAATCGCTATTATACTTCTCTGACCTGCCATAAACTTTTCTGTATAATGTAAAATGGTTGAACAAACTACTCTACTCTATAAAGGGTCATTCGTTTTTCTGGAAAGGACATTAACTCTGATTTTTAAATAGAAAACCCAATATATTTTTCGAAATATCGATAGTGCCTTTTTTTCTCATTTCAAAAAGATTGATGCATATTGAGATGAAAAATTGTTGAGTTATTAATTAACTTTACAAAACACCTCTTCATTAACTTTCACTTTATATCACCTAATGTCAGTTGAACATAGTATGCTTTGAGATAATGTTTATATATTGTTCAAGCTCTATGGAAATGTTATGAAAATGAAATGGTTCAATTTCATTAAAAAATATATGTTACCGTTTGAATGGAAGATTTGATATTTTGGTAAAGTTTGATCATTGGTAACTCAACAATTTTTCATCCAAATATGCAACTCATTTATAATCTTGAAACCAGGCAAGAAGGATCTATCGAAATGTCAAAAATATATAGGGTGTTCCAATCTCTGAAAACAAATGAGTTAAGAAGTTGTTCAACTTTAAGAGGCGCACCCTGGACAGGTTATGTTTCTAATTACCGCCAAACTCGTTTGCAAATTGATGTCTATCAAACTGCCGGCGCTGATTTTGACATATCGCCTGCCGTTGGCCATCATCATCAGAACGGAGGTTCCGAATTCGGGTGTGCCATACCATTTGGTGGAATAGGCGGTATTCGTGACATTCGCCGCCTCGTCTTTGAGATGTTGCGTGGGGATGCTGTAGATTATTATGAATCCGGAAAGGGCTACGTATACGTACACGCCCGACTTGAAGATGGCTCCAAGGTCTGGACTGAAAAAAAGCGAGATTTTCTTCAAGTGAAAACTTCTTTAGGCGCGTTCAGCACTTTTTGGGCGAACAAAAACATTGGATTTCGCGTCAATGTCACCTAATGCTTTCCATGAGCTATAGACTGAGATGCGCACACGATAAACAGAGAGGGCTAGTGTGCGACAAAGATCCACCCATATTGCAGAAATGCATGAAAAACAACTATTCCGTCATCTTGGAGGTTCCATCATATTGGATTCAGAATAACGTTACATTATTTTCCGAGTTATTCTCAACGAGTCGTTTCATTTGATAACCATATTGTGAAAGTAGATTAAAAATAACTATTCCGCCATCTTGGATGGTCTGCCATATTGGATATAGAATGACGTCACATTATTTTTTGAGTTACTTCCAACGAGCCCTTTCGTTTGATACCCATATTGTAGAAGTGCATTAAAAATAATTATTCCACCATCTTGGGTGGTCCGCGATATTGGATTTAGAATAACTTCACTCACCATTGTCATCCAAACTGAACGTGTATACAAAATTTCAGCCCAATCGGCTGCAGATATCAACTTCAAATTTGAGTTCAAAGATTGCAACCGAAATAACATACATACATACTTGCATACATTGCAAGTTACATGAAAGCTTTTAATAATAAAATAATTATCTAGTAGCTCGAAGATACAATTCACATGTTACTTAGTTGTCACTTCTATCGGCAGTCCCCAAACAGTGTCCCCACACTTTTCTTTGATTGTTGACTAGATGGAGAGGCTGTTACCTCTTAGAATATTGTGAAAAACTTTGTAGTGTTCTTGCTACATTATATTTTTGGCTTATACAAGTTTAAAGTTCAATTGAAATTGTGAATGCCACAAAAACTAAAATGCAGCTGTCAGCTATCAGTTACTGTCAGATATATAAATCAGAATTGATTTTACTGATTCCAACAAATTTCTATCAAGGTCTACATGATTGTTGTGAAATAAACCAATGGCATTGAGAAACATTCACTGAGACAACGAAAACTAATCACACAGTAGTCGCAAAACATAAATAACCTGATAACGATCGACACTACAAAAAATGACAATTGCAGTACGCATAGTGCTGTGCTCGCTTACTAAGATTCTTTTGCGGTGTTAACATTAAGGTCTACATTTTGTTGTGTACCTTAGAAAAGCTATTCGTTTTTATAATCATTAGTCAGAGTTTCTGGCACTTATGTTGTTGTGGGTAAATTATTATATAATTTCCCCTATTGTCCTCGATTTTCTTTTAGGTTGGTAACACAAAAAATGACAAGAAGTTAGAATAGAATCTTAGTCAGATTTGTCAACTGACTCATCTAACACCAATTGATTGTAGTTTTGATATAATTTTATATATTATACTATTGTGTTTTGAAGGTGCATAACTGTTTTATTGGTGCAAGGGTTTGCTCAAACAATTGAACTCACTTCGAAATCAAGTTATACATCTCCACACACATAGATGTTACAATCATGATCATATACGCCAAGAGGCCACTTGAGAAGGAATCGTTGATTAGTTCAGCGTATCTGTAAAATAAATGGAATCATGTGAGTAAGGCGACGAAATTGTCCAGTGACATTAAAATTTCTGAAAGTCCAAAATCCAAAAATAGTTCAAGATAACACATAGACACATGAGTGCAGTAGAATTCAGAATAGATGTGCAAAAATTCTTGAGTACCTACCTATGAAATTCTGCTATGCCCTGAAAGACTTTATCTTTCCATGTATAAATAATAATGGGCGTGTACACCTTAGTAGAACTTTGAACTCAAACCATGTTTATAATGATCCTTTTATACATAAATAATGATTGATGACATAATTCGATCGAAAAATTAACTGGAATGTTTTATTTTTGGACATATATAATAGTACCTTCTGAAAACGGACCCTCTTATGACGTAGAAACCTCATCTCGCCATAGTTAAAAGAAAATACCAAACGCCCGACGGAGACTGAGGCAACTGATATATTAATTCTTTCAACTGTGATCTCGCGCTAATTCACTCTGTCAGAAATCATATATCAGTCATCTCTGTCTGGAATAGTTTTGTTTCAGTATTAGGGTTTTGACGTCACATCATCGCCTCGTTTTCAGAGGTCCGAAAAGTCGGGGATTTCAATATTTTTTTATAAAACGTAGGGAGCTCACAACAAGAAACGGTTTGCGGTGGTGAGCTAGTTTGGGTGAGTTCTATCGAATTATGAAATAAAATTTTGCCCATTAAGCCCATTGATGCTATCATTCGTCATTTCAAATGATCAAAAATACTTTGTAAGTCCCAATATTGTCATATTTCTCAAAACCCAGTGGGAGCAAGAATGCAATCGTACCGTACTATACCGTAAACAAATGAGAAAATTAAGGTTGTTTTAGCTTCAAGGTCGGTCATCTGTCATATGTGCACGCGACCTATTATTTTTTGTGTCTGTGTGATGTTTGTTCCATTTTATTGATTTCCTTTCATTCAGATTTAGATGATATTGTAAACGAGAATTTGTATTATTCCGACAATAAAGCATTTCTCTCTCTCTCTTACTTTATCAAAAAGACGTGGTGGTCTACCACCTCGCATATCTTCTCCTGGATCTCCGAGGCCGTGTCGGCATCCATCATAGTTTCGATTTGCCTGTTCAACAGCCGGAACTGGAGATACGTCAAGCTGATGAAAGTCATTAACAGAGTGTCGAAGCAGACGATAGGTAGGAGCACAGCGAATTGCATGACGAGCACTTGATAGGACCATAGAGCGTAAATAGGCAGCCAGGAAGGTCGGTAGCATGTCAATGCTGAAAATAAACTGGAGAAACTGATGTAGAATGTGGTGACGACAGAGAAGGTCAAGTGGAAGAAGAATATGTGTCTCGTGCGGTCGAGGAACGCTTTTTGATAGGTTTTTTCTTCTGTTGAGATCGCGAGTTGGTGAATATTCCAGAATTGCTTTGTTTGTGTCAATAATGATGCTAGACCAGGACGGTTGGCAAATAGGCTCGAGCTTCTTATAATACCCTGAAAATAATATCGGAAATTTTGTTTCGATGCTGTGATTATGCAAGGCTATTATAACTAACCACCCTAAATAACTATTGATCTGCAGGGATTATTTTCTTATAAACAAATGTATCCATCTGCAGGTTCTATGTTTTTCTTCTTACCCACAGTTACTCCTGTTTTGGAATATCAAAGAGCATCAACAGTTGATGTTCAACATGTTTCCAGATGATGAAGTTGTTGGACTATTTCACTCTCTCAGGAAGATTCCCAATGGACCTTCCACATAAATAGTGAAATACTTCATTATGTTTCATATTTTAGATTAACCAACAACAAACATTCGAAATTTTTGGTCAACTGGGATTTTTTGTTTCTGTCAACTGTCTCGACTAGAGTTCCTAAATGAACTTGACACTGCTGTTTTGACGTTTTTTGTATATTAGAGTACGGACACTAGACAAGCAGTGACAATCAAACATAACCACAAACGATTTTGAAGCAAATCATATGTTTTGCCAGACAAGGACAAGAATATGTTTTTCGCTTAGATAAAGGATCCTCGCATCTTTCCCCCTCCACAAGTCCTGGGAAGAGTACATCCATATATCTCTTTCTCTGTCTTTGATTGTTGTATAAGAGTGCATAGCGTCTCCTCAAGTTATAAAAGGGCACGATAAATTGATTGGAAAATTATTTCTTCTCGAAATATTTAATGATAAGGCTGAAGGACCTCAATGGAGTTCGATATCAAGTTAGTAGGCACATAATATATATCAACGAAATACATATAGTATTCCTATGAAATTAGTCTCTTATGGTATATATATATTCGTTCAGTTGAATATTAGTTTATCACAAAAGTTCAGAATGGGGTAAAAACTGATATATTTCAAGAAACATACTATTTAGTGTGGAACAATTTCTACAAATGATATGGCAGTTAGGATAAATAATATAGGTTCTCCAAGACATACGGAAGAAGGTATAAATGGACTTCGCCGTTCACATTGCTAAAGGGGATTGTTGGTTGAACCAGGCCATCGTAAGATCATTCTCAATACCTAACATAAATGGTGCACTTGTTAAGCGTTCTTGTTCTGTGCTCTGATCATATCTTGCTCGTATCTTGGGACCCAAAAAGTGGTTCAAAATCCACTAGGAGCTATGTAGTCGTCTAGCACTTCTCAACTACGCATGAACATGCACATTCAGACTTGGGATTTCAACTTTGAAGAAGTAATACACGAACAATATATTCAACTCTTTGATATAGATACATCAATATCTGGTACATCAGAGTTCCACAAAGTGACAATATATTTTCACAAAATTATTATAAGAGTTCGTGTACGAAGATGATCTAAAAAATTCTTGGTTGAACAGGGATGTGAAATCAGTTTGAGTCAGTCAATTCAGGAAGTTGCTGCTATTTCATCATCACATTATCGACCATGATCTCCATGGTGGCTATTGTGATCTCTCCATCATTCCATCACAAGCAATAACCAGAGTCTAAATTGGAATAAGGTTATTTTCGATATTCGCTCAGTTTATAAATTGTGGGTTTGGCTCTTTCTCTCAATACGATCCTATTCTTCAACTTCCTACCAAGACATTTAAATACCGCAAATTTTCTGGCCTGAACCTATATTCTATGCCGGCTGCATCATATTCTGTTTCCATTTTGTAGAATTACGTTGACCGATGGAAATTCGAATAGAGTGAATTGACTTCCCGTGTTCTCATAGTTGGAAACTGCACAAACTTGCATCTCTCTCCTAATTATCTCAATTTGACAAACCTTTGAAATTTATGTCATGTGCGTCCGTGTACTGTCAGTTCCCGCTTTTTCCATCAATTTATTTGTGGTTATGTCTGATTGTCAGTGCTTGTCATAGTGTCCGTACTCTGATATAAAAAAAACGTCAAAATCAGCAGTGTCAAGTACATTTAGGAACTCTAGTCTCGACTATTGTTAAGTTTAAGATGGTTTGGCTTATCATGAAGTCCCAATCAGTTTGAATCATGTTCAGTTTAGTAGCTATCATTTGAATTTATTCAGCGATTGAGTGATTGAATGTTGTTGTTGTTATGAATCAGGGCTCAGGGAATGTTTGTTATGAAATTGACTACAATTGGATGTTATATGCTGTTTTTCACATCTCAAATTCTGACTTCCACTGCTAGAACTATAGGCTAGAGCGGAATACGGCATCCTCCATCAGATATAGGTTTACTTATGTTTGCCTCCATACAGTTGACAACAGAATTACAAGCTGTAATATGGTGTAATACTGTTGATTCATGTTTACAGGGTGAATCATTTGGATTAGATATGATTTTTCTTTCAAACAAAATACATCAATTTCAAAAGATCGTTCCTTCAGCATAGGTACCCTAAATTTCCTGAAGAATTCAAAAGTGGCATGATTTATCCAAAATTTCTTGTTTTGTAAAGGTAACAGCTGAAGTATTTGAAAAATTAGTTATAAATCCCCACATGAATTTCGGATTGATTAATTCGTTACCTATTTGCCTCTGTGTATAAATAGCTGAAGGTAGGCTAGTTTTCGAAATGATGGCTGTATGTGTATGACTTACGTGTATAATAATTGACATTTCCGAGAATGCACAAACATAATCTGTGAAAGCTGCTGATTTTACTTTGTCAACGAACATGACAACTTCCAACATGATGATGCTCCACGGTCCAATGCTTATCATCGCAAACAATACTAAATCAATCGAGATTCGTCGTTTCAAAGGATGTAGCCCTATGGTGGACATCATATTTAGACATTTCGTTAAGTTATAGAAATACATCCCAGAGCTCTTCTGTCTGAATACTTCTCGATAGATTCACTGTTTTATAACCGTTTATGGACGTGTGCCATATAGAGAATTAAGTGCCTTACAATATGTATAGAGTTCCCACATAACATCTGCGAAGTTTTATGCATGCATATCGAGGATATTAAATGCATTGGAAACTTTATTGATAATTGCATGAAAATTAGGTATTAGAAGCAAATTAATAACATCTTACTGGGATTGCCGTACATTTTAATGAAAATGCTCTGCTCCACTTCAAAAGTGGACGTCAATTTAAATGGGATATATAGACATATTGTAGCATCAATGGTGGAACTCGAAAAACCTGACCCCGATCGAGAAGATCAATTTCAAAATAAATTATTATGATGCTAATTTTCTGAGAGTTTGTGATTATTATGGGTAATGGGAATTATTTTATTGTTCGCGTCTCTCACAGAAAGTTATGTTTTCTGGTTGTTCTCTTAATTTTTAGTTTGGGCTTCTTCTGATGTTTAATTACGAACAGCAAAACTTATCATACCTATCTTTCCACTAGATTAATCGATTACGTGACCGTTTACCGCCTGAAATTGTTAAAATTGCGTGTTTTAGTTTTTTTATACGGGGTGTCCCATAACGCGACAAAGCATGCGCTAGCTTTAATCCCAACGTTTGTATTCAAGCGCAGTTGTTAATTAAGAAACGACGCGATAAATACTGCGCTTTAGTTGATGATACGGAATCTTATAGAGGCGGATGCTATCTTAATGGAAATTCTAGTAACTTCGTTACAATATCAATCCTCATTCCATTATCATATATCATATAACCATACAGATACCGTCCACTATCTATCAAGCATCGAACATATTGGTCCCTCGAGCCGGACAATTGAATAAACACAAATTTCTCTCTCTAGTGTGGGCGAATCCGACTCGTCGATGACCTGCCCTTTGGGCACCATCAAAGTGGGCGAGTTCGTCTACGTGGACTCCAAGGAAAAGACCCGCGATGCGCACATCCTCAAGATCGAGCGGCTGTTTGAGCACGACGGGCGGCAAATGTTGCACGGCAACTGCTACATGCGGCCCGCCGAGACGTACCACCTGACCACCAGGAAGTTCTTGGAGCGGGAGGTGTTCAAGTCGGACACGCATATGACGGTGCCGCTGGAGGAGGTGCGCGACAGGTGTTGCGTCGTCAATGTCAAGCAATACTACGCGATGAAGCCGGAAGGTGAGAATGTCTGGTCGTTTTTTTTTTGTTTTCAGGCAACCGAGAAAGTACCTAGTACTTTTCAGACATGGGTCGGGGAGCGTATTTATTTATTTAATTTATTTATTTATTGAAGTAATACATCCAACAGACTAAAAGTCCAATTACAGGAGTATGTAACAAAAGAAGAATGTGCATCACACAATTATCTAAGCATGATAATGAACAAAAATGAAAAACACTATTTCAACAAATGATCATGTTAGTTTGATAATATGAGCTTATACAGAGCTTTTTTGAAGTGACCAGAACTCAAATAAAAATATTTACTGAGGATAAATTATTGAAACAGCTACACATATACTTATTACCATTTTGAAAATGATGCTGCGAATTAGGTACATCAATATAGAAAGTTAGGCTAGTTCTTAAGACTGAGCGAGGTACATTGAAATTTAATAAACACTACAAAGTTGATGAATCGATTTCATTGTGGATAAGTTTATTGTGAAAAGCGTACTGAATAAGTCACAAAGACGCAATTAGGTATTATGACGAAGGTAAATATAATTTCTGCATGAAAAAGGAGACTACTGAATCTAACTCGGCCTAAATAAACCTTTTTCCAGAAAATCATCTCTGTAGAAGAATTACTTGAGGGAACAAAATTAAAAATAAAATTACGCTAGGCAACAATACAAAACTATCCTGATTCAAAAATAGAGTTATACTGTAGAAACTATTGTAGAATTTGAAGATATTATACTTCACAATAACCAAATAATAATTAACTAGTATGTGTTGACTATGACTATGGAAACACGAATGATTTCAATTGATATCTATTGCTTTATCATTGTTGTAAATAAAAACCTAGTCAGCAGGCAGAAGTATAATATTGTCTGTTTATTGAGAGAAAAATTGTAGAAATCGCCCTCTTCGACCAGATTTTCATATATCTTCATAACCTACGACATTACCTGTAATTGTTCATTATCATAAAATATATTATACCTATGTGACTCAAGAAGAACCTAACCTAAGTTAACCTAATGTTGTAGGAAGTCATTGAATGTTGCCTCCAATTCCGGTCATCGTTGAGAAAGGTTTGTTAAAGAATTCATTTAACTCCACTTCCTGTAGTAGAGCAAGATGGGACACCAAAATCAAAGGAATGCCAAACAAAAAACTAACTTGACTTGATATTAGAGAATAAAAATTTTAATTTGTCTGTGGTGACGTTTTGAAAACTTTAACCCAGTATTGTTCATTTTGACAAATATTGCATTGAAGCATATAAATTCGATGTTTTCAGTAAACTAACGCCATTGACAGGCAGACATTTTTCCTTTCGCCTGCTATGTTTCAATTTAGAATGACGATAGTTTATAACGATCCTCTTTCTCAAAAACGAATCAAGAGTTTATTTAGCTCCAAATACCTTGTGTCTCGCTAATTCCTTCTATCTACTGTGCACAATGTTTTTACTCCCTTTCTGTGTCTCTTCTTCCTACCAGTCTTTCTACTACACACTGTATTTTTATTTTGACTACTTCCGTGATATTCTCAAAGATTTTCTATATTTCGATCACTTTTCCAAATCCATATTTTCACTATCCTGCTTTGTTATCTTTTTTCATATATTTCCGTATTTTACAAAAATCACTGCGTTCATTTTTCGGTTATATAGAAAGTTGAGGGAGATTGTTTATATTTTACTCAATAGTTATATCAGTTAATATTGGTCTACAGAAACGTTGAAATGGGCAAGAATGAAGTATTTTTTATGTGCATTTAGAATCCAGTACTAGAGAATGCAAAAAAAAGCATCGTAAACCCAAAAATTTCACATGAACTGGTTATTTTTGAATGGAACTCCTATATTTTATTTTCCCAATCGATAAAGCTCTTTCATTTAATTTCAAATATATATACTTTGTTGAGGTTATCTTTGTCAGTTTTCGAAAAATATAGATGCTAAGGCAGCTGTAGATCTCCAGAAATCGCAGCATTATTTTTATATATCTTTTAAAAACTGAGAAAAGATAACCTCAATAGAGATTATATATTTGATTTCAGGAGAAAGAGCTCTACCGTTTATAAAAATAAAATACAGGGTGTTCCATTTGAAAAATACCAGTTTATGTAGAATTTTTAGGTTTACGATACTTACTTACATTTTCCAGTGAAAGATTTTGAATGCCCATAAAAATACTTCAGTTATGTCCATTTGAACGTTTTGGTAAGACCATTAACTGAGATAGCTATTGAGTAAAGTATTACCAATCACCCTGTACAGTAACTTTTTACTTTCTATAACAATAACCTTGCCAGCTCCACACCCTAACAGGTATCAAATACAACTGTGTCACTTCTGCTAGCTGATTCACATTCTTTAACCATATCATTTATATAACAACTCTGAGTAATATCTTTTGATATGTTCGAATATTATACTGTAGTATATGACTAATATGACTAATTCAACTCATATCTGTTATCACCGAATGCCGAGCAGGGATGCGTAACCGATGTAAAAGAGGTAGTAGATGTTTGACATTCGAACAGTGAAGACAGTAATAAAAGTATTACTGCAAACAGTGTTTTATTACAAAAGTGAAGGTTATTACATATACTATACCGGATAGTTCAAGAGAATTGCAACAACTCTGAATGATTATATCAGCTGTAGTAATACTAATAATTTTGATTAACTATCCAAACATTCAATCACCAGCCAATCAGGTATCACTCATAACAACAAATTTTGAGAGAATGTACTGAGGAGTATAAGGTTCCGTGGTAATAATTATTCTTTACTACCAAGGTGTATATTAAATCTTTTTCACCACTAGCAATATATCTCAATCATTATTGTTCTGTGAAATTGAAATGTGGACCTATGTCACTATGAAAGCACTTCTTTTCAATTCTATTTAAAATCTAGTCACCATTACAGCATATGACAAATCGTTATTGATGAATACTTACTATATTCGGGTTAATTATAAGGTGGCTATGTCTTTATTGACTAGTGGTTCATAAAATGACAAAAACTACCTTGGTAGTAAAAATACACTTTACGCCTTCAAAACGAGTAAATAATGGTAGGTTCTGTAGCTAGTGGTGGAAAAACAATATTATACCACAGATTAACAAACCTTACAGATAAGACAGTCAGTGAAGTAAATCCCTGATATCAAGATATTCGTTGACATGACAACGTTGCACCACGAATAGTTCAGTGACTTCAACCTACCATTTTGAGAACCGGCAACCGTGACGCGCAAAGTTTAAAGGGACGAGGTCACGAAACACATGTGTCGGTACATCAAACAAAAAGGGGCGGAGTGTCTCATCTGTAAGGTTTGTTAATCTTTGATTATACCTCTCGACCACTAACTAGGTTTCCATTTAGAACGACAATGGCTTCACACTCCAGCAGGTAACAATTACAACTGTTAAATGTTCATTCTACATAGACTTCACACTAATTCTGTCAATTTTATTATTTTTCAAAATTTTCTGAATGGTTTAGAGGTCTCAAAGTGAAAAAGCCACACATATAATTACTGACATCACCATTCAGTGAGTGGAACACATGGTTGCAAGATGTCAAAGTATTTATTTGAAAATATTAGAAATTGTGTGCCTTGATTTCAAGATTTTATTCTTCGAATTTTGAAGTTGTCGGCAGAGTCCACAAGGCAGAACTGTTTATATTCATGCCGACTCGCTCTCCATTTTCTATGGGTACGTTCGATTTTTTTTCAGGTTACGAAGATAAAGACATCTACGTGTGCGAATCCAGGTACAGCACTAGGGGTAGGAACTTTAAAAAAATCAAAATCCACCCCGACAATCCCACCATCACGTTGGTACCACGAGAGGTGCCGCTTGAACCGAAAAGGGTGATGTCAATTTTCCGCGAAAGGGTGGAAAAGCACAAGGATGAACTTCAGGAGTTGGAAGATCTAGAAAAATTGGTCGAAAAAGAGAAACCGGTGAGAAAGCCGATTCATTTTTTAATGTGAAGTTTTAGTCCAAGAGCCGGCTGCAAATTTCGATCGTCATCTGATAACGAAATGACATAATATACAGTGTGTGCGATTTAAACCCGCAACACACTCCTAATTTGGAACCCGTCGACCGACTATTATAGTACTCAACAAGCTCTATTTGAAAATGTGGACAAATCTAAAATATTCAGATTTTCAAGGCCTACTTTTGATTGTTGAATGGGTGAAAATTTCAAAAACAAACAGTGACTAGCCCATTCGATTCAAGCATACCTCAAATACCCCCATACGAAATTTCATCGTAAAATCTCATATAGGGTGTTAGTTATTCAATGGCAAATATTGATATTTTTTGATTTTTCGATACACCCTGTATCAAAATCTAAGAAATCGATATAACTGGTGAAGTAGTCATTCAATGGAGGAACACATCAATTACTTGGATACGAAGATCCATCTTTGTAACGTCTACACCATTCACCATTTTGAGAACTCAAGTAAACCGTTTTTCACAGACTTTACCACACAGTACCTTTGAAAATCGTCTCGATTGTTAAAGAATTGTTGAATATAACCCAAATACAATGACAGACAAATACTCTCCAAAGACTGGAAGGAGATTTACTGATACTTAATGTGATCATAATAATATATCGATTTTGACGAAATGAAACGGAAATTTGAGATGACAATGGAAATTGTTATGTATAGAGAATATTTCCTCTAATCAATAACCATTAATTACATTTCCAGGAAAAAAATATATGGATCATGAAAAAAATTGTCAACTTCAATTTCATTAATTTTTGGTTGACCAAGAGAGAACTTCCTGTAGAAGTTACAACGATGAAACCTCGTATCTAAGTATCCGATGTGTTCCTCCATTGAATGACTACTGCACTGGTTATATCAACTCAGATTTTGAAACAGGGTGAATCGAAATAACGAAATAATTTGAAGCTGATTTAATAGGATTGGAAAATTCAAAAAGGAATTCATGAACCATCTACTCCTGTAATATTGACATCTAATCTCATTTTTATAGTTTTCTCGTACAATCACTAGTTTTCTATTGGGTACCTAAAACCTGAGTCAATTAAGAATCATTTTCAGTTGAACTTGAAACAAAAGATTTCTCCTCGAGAGTGAGTCTTATTTTACTGTCTTCTTTATATTGTCAAATATATTTATATATTCACTATGTTCCCTGCTATAAACAAATGTTGTTTCTTGGGAATAATGAAGTTGATTGATTGAACAGGCTTGTCACAGTTTCGATAAAAAAATTCGTAATAGATGTTTTTGAAATTTTGACCCCTTCAACAAACAAAAGTATGCCTTGAAAATCTGAATACTTAAAATTTATTCACGTTCTCCAATAGATCTCAATGAGTAATATATTATGAAATTTTTGTTTTCGTAAATCGGTCGACGGGTTCCAAATTAGAAGGGTGTTGCAGACTAAGATCACATTCAGAGGCTGAAAAATATAGAATCCATATAAGCGTACGCTACTGGAATCGGCGTCAGCTGAAATAGATCTGTACCAAGTTTCATGAATTAATATTCAACAATAACGATATTCTTGATTTCCTCTTGAATGAACCCCCAGAATAGAACAAAATCTAGGAAGGTCGGGAGATCTGGGAAGAAACTGCATGAATCTGCAGTCATCTGTGCATGACTTTAGTAATTGTAAATCCTTCTATTACGAAGAATACTACATGACAAGCTTCTAGATGCATAATAAACAATTTGTCAGTAATTTAATCATAGAATCGTTAATGTTAAACATTTTTTCATTAAACTAAATACAAATCTATTTCAGAGGATGCCGATTCCAGTGGTGCATACGGATTCTTTCTGAAATAATCGCTAATATGAATTCTGGATTATACAGCCTCTGAATATGATCTAGTAGGTCATAGTTTGAAAAAAAAGGACGCAGCTTAGCTCCAAAATATACGGGGTACGAAACATTAGAGGTATACAAACTCAACTGTGGATCTTGTCCTAAGGTATATATCGGTCAGACAGGTCGTACGTTTAATCAGCGCATTCATGAACATAAGATGCATTTTTTGAAAAAGAAAACAAATTCAACATACGCCAACCATATATTAGAGGAAAACCATAGTTTAGATGATAATTTCGAAATTCTACACGTAGAAAATGAAGGAATGGAATACAATAATTTTGAGTCATTAGAAATCAACAAACTCAAAAATTCTGATATTTTACTTAACGATCAATTATACCTCAATAGTTCACCACTGTTGAATTTGTTTTCTTAGTAAGTAATAATATGTATTTGCTATAAACCCTTTCAAGTTATTCCGGTACACCGTATTTTAATGTAGATATTTTGCCTAATTTCCGAAAATGGAGGTTTATCGAACCTGTCCACAGGTAACTAATCCTACAAGTTGGGAAAGTAGGATATATAAAAGTTGAGCAAGACAAGGTTGGTTTAGTTCATTGTACCAGTATATCACCTGACGAAGCTACTGTATTAGCGAAACATGTCGTGTGTTTGAGAATTTTGTGGAAATCTTATCGTTTGTGAAGTTTATACATTTTACAAAATATACCTTTCCTCCCCCTTCACATTTACGAAAAAATCTTTTTCTACTCACATAACTAAAATGGCATTTAGCGTACGGATATGTACCACGCTAAATGATCGATTAATCACGGATCGACGATCTGTGATTTATTCAAAATATTAAACACGTTACCATGGCAACACGATTTCTTAAACACATTACCATGGCAACACAGTTCATTAAACACAGTTTCAGCTATTCGAGACATGTCTGGCTTGTCAATTGTATTAACTGTCAACTGTCATTTTCGAATTTTGTGTAAGAATTATTCAAACAATTTCCTTTTGTATCAGAATACTTCATCAAAAATATATGGGAAATGTAGACGAAAGTGAAATCGAAAAGAATGTTCTGGTACTTGCATATCTCCAAGAAGTGTAAAAATGAAGCATCCATCTTTGAGAACAATTTATTTATTCTGCGCTAAGCATGACAATAAACGTGAAACAAAGATTAGTAAGCAATGGACTGGACACATCTACAACCAATATCACTTATACGTGTCTCGCTGGTCTCAAAACAAATACTATTGAAATATCTTGATAAAATATGTATTTGAGGGCCCGCTTTCAGATGGATCACTCTGCATGTGTTCTCGTTATCAGATGGCTGGCGAAATTTGTAGTCTGCTCTCCTACTATGTTTATATGTGCATTTTTCTTGTCTCTTTTTCAGAATGTCGTCGCTTTTCATTGTATGGACATCGATGACGGCAACACTTATTACGAGCAATTCAATACGATATGTTCGGGGGTGGTTAAAACGGGTGATTACGTGTATGTGGTGGCTGAAGGTGGCAAACAAATCATAGCGCAGATAGACAGTATTTGGGAAACGAAAGAGTAAGTTTTCGTACTAAGGCGGTGAGGGAAAAATCTAGTTACTGGGTTGATCATGTTCGCTAACTTCAGTTTTTTTTATCAATGTATTTTTGAATCATTATTCCAAATTTTTTGGGATTTTCTCTCCTCCTTTCTATAAAATAAAAATATGAATATTATTTCAATATACGTGTAGTAAGGACAAATCAGATGATTTGCCCCAAAATGTCACTGCGTTTAAAGAATTTTCCTATCAGAGAGCCTAAAAGAAAAATTCACTAGCTTGTCAGTGACAATTTGTATTGAAAAATTTTTGGAGAAGAGAAATAAAGGTATATAGAAAAAATATCAAATTTTCACTTATCTTTGGACGTTTCGGGACCGATTCTGCTCCCGTTTTCAACATAAAGAGATTTTTTCAATTGCAAAGTCGTATTATATGTCTTGAAGCTTTTCAGTTTTCAATGACAATTGGTGACGTTGGCAATCAAAGGAGTTACAGGATGTTTTCATTGATTGATCTTGAATTTACCATTTTCATGTTTAGATTTTAGTAGTGAATACCATGTTCTGTCTATATCAACTGAACAAGAAGCAATGCTATTGTCTCCGTTCAGAAGAATGCAAGCAGATTTCTTGATTTTTCTCTTCTGGTTGTTATCTTCAAGACATATAATACGACTTCGCAATTGAAAAAATCTCTTTATGTTGAAAACGGGAGCAGAATCGGTCCCGAAACGTCCAAAGATAAGTGAAAATTTGATATTTTTTCTATATACCTTTATTTCTCTTCTCCAAAAATTTTTCAATACAAATTGTCACTGACAAGCTAGTGAATTTTTCTTTTAGGCTCTCTGATAGGAAAATTCTTTAAACGCAGTGACATTTTGGGGCAAATCATCTGATTTGTCCTTACTACACGTATATTGAAATAATATTCATATTTTTATTTTATAGAAACGAGGAGAGAAAATCCCAAAAAATTTGGAATAATGAATGTACCACCTCCTCGATTAACCTACAGACAGTATTTTTGAATCCTTCTATGTTTTTGGTGTGGGACAATAGGCGAGTGGACTAATTTTTTTTTATTTCTTAAATAGAATCATCACTCAAATATCTTTCAAATTCATATTTTATTTAGGATTTTTCGGTCGATTTTTAGGTGCTCAAATCATCAATAATAATAAGTTTATTCATTCATTATAAATTCACAATAATTTCTATAATACAATGCATTTGTAATGATAAATAAATGAACCAAGGAATGAGTCACTAAAGGTTAGACCTGTGCGTGACATATCTATGAACACGTTAATATAAGACGAAATCAACTGCAACAATGATATATAATAATAATAATATAATCATTTAAACTAATTAAATTGACTAATAAAATAGATGAAATAAAGTAAAATAATATAATCATTTGAATTAATTAAATCGACCAATTAAATAAAATGCCATGGTAATTTTCATACGGATAGAAATTTACCGCGAGTCACTGACCTCACGATTTCGTATGTAGGGGCAGACCATTGCACAGTGTTGCCATGTGTTGAAATACGATTGGGATTGGGAACTTTGAAAAATATCAGTTATTCAAACATTCATAAATTCTCAATTATGTATTGGTAATATTCCTATTTAGCAATACAAAATCAATTGTCTCAAGAAGTTCTCTTATGATTTGGACTTATTGCTTAATACATTTGTGTGAATAGTTATTATATTTTTTTCTGTGACGGGAAAAATTTTGGCATTTCATCTCTGTTGGCAGGTTATAAAATGGCACTTTTCATAAATTACTTATTTCTCGTGGGAAACAGTGAGTACTTTTTTCCCGGATATATATCACATATAAATCATTCCAGAATTACGTCATTTGACAGGTTGCTGAGGGGCAAACATTGTATTTTGTCAAGAAATGTCATATAAAACCAGAATAAGTGGGATCGTTTTCCTTGGAATCCGAGTTAGAACCAGAAAGAATTCCATAATTGTGTTTGGTGAAACTGTTATTATATTGTAGATGTGGCAGGGATGGCCAGGGCTATGCTCATCAAAGGTAACCTCTAAAAGATAGTTTGTGTGTCCCTCAAGAAACCATGTCAAAATCACGTGTTCTAGAATGATCAATATTTACACTGTTGATGGCTTTTGTTGTGCTATAGTTCCGAGAAATGAGTCAATAATACCGTCTCCGAGAAAGAACTGCAAGTCCTTTTATCTTCCATTCGACTTCGCTGTTACGTTTATTACTAAACAATCACCAAATTCGCAATTTTTTGAAATCAAATCACAGAATTAGACTGACAGAAGTGACATCAGATATTTGATTACTTCAAAAGAATGTTAAAGATGCATACAACGCAGGGGTCCCTACTGTTAAAAACTTAAAATTGCACGTCGATAATTTTCAGATTCCAAAATAATGTAATATCTTCTCAATATTGATTCGTCCTTTCTTCTGTCACAGAAGAAAATAGTGTATTATACACGGGAAAAATATTAGATTTCAGCTCACGGTTTTTTGTCTCCCTCCGCTATGCGTCGGGAGACAACACAACCTGGAGCTAAAATCTACTACTTTTTTTCCTTGTATAATAAATAACCATAATTCGCACGAGAGGGCATTTGAAGCGGTGAACGTGACAACACGGCACGCACGACTTGTGGGCGTGGTCTTGTTCCTTCTCAGCATTCAGCACAATGTTGCCAAGTGTCCAATATTTACATGATATGAATGAACTATAATATCATGGGTTCCTCCTTTCATGTTTTATTCAACGACATCTTTTTGATAACTTGATTATAATTGATGATTTGACAACCTTGCTACATGAGTGGGAATGGAAGATTATCTGACCAATAACGAAACAGAATAAAAACTGACGTCACCATTTATTCGACGTATCGTCAAATGGCGGCCATGACGGTACGTTTGAAATGAGCTCTGAAATTCAACGATTTTGAACAAAGTATAAACTGAATGCCCATAATTCATTATCAGTCCACTCGCCCATTCTTGAGTTTTGGATTCAGTAAATAAATATGATTTTATATCATTATTCGAATGGTTTCGCCTATGGCCATAGACTTTTTTAATCTTTATTAATCCTTAAAATATAGTAAGTACCCCGCACGAGAACACGGGAAATTGGCTCTCGGTCGAATTCATATTTCGAACAGAGATAGTTATCAAGAATAAAAATACGTTTTCGATGCCTACAATAGACTAAAACTATATTGTCTCACCAAAATATAACTTCTTGGTTTTGGAATAGTGCTCGAATTTTGTTTCCCGAAAAATTATTTTTTTGACCGTGCCTCGTATACACCCTGATTCACTATAATTTATGTGATCATAACTAGATATGTATTTGAGTTCCGATCAATAAATTTTTTTTATTTTGACTAATTTATACTAAAGAAACGGTTTTTTTCTTTGTCAATCCTACCACGATGCGACGTTTTTACGAACTTTGTCGGCTTATATCTCAGGAACTAAACATACAATAGTTTTCAAACTCACATATTTTTCTAATGAGCCATCCCACAACAACATAGTACAATTTCAGCCAATTCGACCGAGAGCCAATTTCCCGTGTTTTCGTGCGGGGTCCTTTACTGGTCTGGAAAAGGAATGAAGATTCTATCTGCTCCGCCCGAAGAATTATGAATTTCCTGATAAAATTTTAAAATTATCAGGTACAGGGTGATTCACCATAAATGTCCCTCCCTCTAGTTCACTTATTTTTTAACCGTTTTGAAAATTTGAGAGATGATCTAAAATGATTTCTCAGAATTTTTTTCCCGTTGCATCAGAAAATACAGGGTGCTCGGAACAAACGATTTACAGAGTACTAATTGATTTTTTCAAACGGAACGCCCTGTATTTTATTGTATTTTTAGATTCTTCCTGAAGAGCTGATTTCATCAATGCATCACACTTGGGGTCTAGCGGGAATGATTACAGAGATATAGGGTGTTCAAAATCTAGACTTTTCAACTTTAGGATTTTTTTGTGCCGAAACTATTCATTATTGGTCTAAACGGCTACTATGTTTCCATCTCAATTTCTGATTTACTGTCTACTGACATTCAATTGGAACATTTACAGGGTGGTTCAAGATTCAGAATTCTGGTCACCCTGTATCTGAAACAATTATTGAATGTCAGTAGATAGTAAATCAAAAGTTAAGAAACGAACATGAAATCCGTTTCGACCGATAATGAATAGTTTCGTCACAAAAAAATCCCAAAGTTGGAAAATTTCGATTTTGAACACCCTATATATCTCTGTAGTCAGCCCCACTAGACCCCAAGTGTGATCAAATCAGCTCTCCAGGGAGAATCTAAGAATAAAATGAAAAATAAGGTGTTCCATTCAAAAAAATCAAACAGTACTCTGTAGATCGTTTGTTCCGAGCACCCTGTATTTTCTGATCTAGCGGAAAACACTTTATTGAAAATCATTCAAGATTATATTTCAAATTTTAAAATCGGTTCAAAAATAACTGAGCTAGAGGGGGGGGGGCGTTTATGGTGAATCATCCTGTACAAGTATTAATTCTGAGAGTTGTGACTTTTGAAACCCAGAAATTCAACTAGAATCTCAGGTGAGGTTAGGGTTAGATGTCAGAGTATCGCAATAAACTAGTCCCTATCCAAGGCATACTAGATTTTTTCGTCAGTTTAGCCGTCAATTGTTCCGATTTTGTATTGGTGACTGTTCTTTTTGTTGATAGCGGTAAATGTTATTTTCGCGGCCCTTGGTTCATAACGCCCTCGGAGGTGCCGAATTCGCAGGGCAGGCTGTTCTACAAGCAGGAGTTGTTCTTGTCCAGCACGGAAGAGGCCAGTCCGATAGTCAGTATTATTGGGAAGTGTTCGGTGCTCGAACTGAACGATTTCATCACGTGTAAGTATTGAGGATTTTATTTACGCTTTTGCCAAAATCAATGGGGAAGTTTTCTATATTCATTTCAGAAAAAAATAAATAAAAGAGGAACTTGGCACCTCCACCATTCCTATGACGTACTTTCTGAAAATCCACATTCACACAGAGTTAAAAATAAATACGATTCCCTGTGCCAGTACGACGTTGCCGACATCATCAATATCTCTAGATTTCCGGAAATTGTTCTTTGTATGCATAATGACTATATTATGACAGCAATGCGATCTAATAGGTTCTTCAAATTAGTAATCGAAATATCGGTAAAACTGTAGTTATCATGTGATGTTTTTTTCCAAAATTTTATTTGGTACTCACGTATTTTGTCTGAAAAACGCGAATTTGATAATGAAAATGTGAACAAACCACTATTTATCAAGATATTTCAAGATTAAGTTCGAAATTTCGCCTTCTTTTCTCCCCTGTATTTACAGCTACTTGCTTTCTTATTTTGTCATTGAACACTTCATATACTCATGACACATTTTTATTAAGAAAATTCAACTGGACATATCATTTTCATGGCGAGTTTTTCATATTTAGTGAACAATCATACCAGATGACGGCCATTTAAACAATAGTCAATCCAAATACGAGATGTCAAATGTCAACAGATTGCTTTTGAATGACATTACACACGCCATTATTTTAAATGATATTCTTCCTTTTCTTCACTAAATATGGTTAAATTATATTCCTAGTTGACTCATATAAAAAAAGGGTCATTGAAGTACATTGTGATATATAAATTGTCCAATGATGAAAAAAGAAGGGCAAATTGTTCTATAAATGTGATCCAAAAGACAGGCTGAAAAGAAGGTGAAATTCGTAACTTTATAGTGAAATATCTTAATAAATAATGGCATATCATTAAATTCGTGTTTCTCAGACAAAAATACGTGAGTACCAAAAAAAATGTTCAAAACAAAAACTGTCCCATGAGTGCAGTTATACCGAAATATCTGACAAATCAAACACTTACGTCTATATCAGTGACATCAACGATCAACTAAGCATCTTTATTATTTCAAATAATTTCATCCAAAAGGAAAAAACAAAATTTTGGTGCCATTTGAAAAATAAAGTTTACAGTCGCTGACGTTACAGTTGGAATTTGAAAATATTATAATCAGAGCCTACTCATAGTATCTGCTATGACTTGGGGCGCTCCTTTGAAAGTCAGCCAGGCACAGAAGACATTTTTCTATACCAAATTGTTTCAGCTAGAATCACCTTCTGTATCATGGTTTGAATATTAGTTTTTTCACTACTAGCTCATGTTTACCTAATATAATGTTAATTTATTATCTGAAATCTTCATTATCTTGCAAATAGTCCATGTCGTCATTTAAACTCGTTGTTATCTGTCAGCTTAGTGACATTTCATAAGAGAATTAGGTGATCTCATAAGGAATCAAATTCAAAGCATTTCAGAAAGGATAAATGATATCAATTTTATCTACAACTATCGAGTGATTCATGCATTGCTCACTTGATTTCCAATACTTAATGGCATACCTTATTGTGATGAGTCGAGTAATTATAATAATAACGACAGTAAGATGGAGTAATAATTTGATATCTCATCGTCTTGTCAAATTCAAATAGATAGGTATTCGTTCTACTAAAGCACAGCACAATACTACTGTTTGTGAAATACTTTCACGAAACTTCAAAAGACTCACCTTATATGGTTCTCATAGTTCACCATTTTACAAATACGAAAAAATGAGAATTCAGTTTTTCATTGTAAACAGTGACTACCATGATTAACCATAAAATAGGATTTGGCACTTGACAATTGCAGATTCCAGAACTTAAGAATTCATTTTGCGCAAACTTACCTGCGGATGATTCGAATATAATGAGTACATACCAAGGTGGATAGAATATGGTGTAATCACAGATAGTGTTTTGTTTCTCCCAAAACGCTTGACCGCAGATTCCGCAATAATGGCATATTAGTTCTGTTGTCCGCAAGATGGCAACACTTTTTACAGATTTCTTTCATGACAGAAAACGGCGCTTGAGTACGAAACTGTAATTTTAGGGAATTTCAATTATCATCAGTTCTACCAACCTTGAATTTTGGTTGAGATTTCGCCATCTAACGGGTAAAATGCGACCTATAGCCCGCGATCATGAAAATAATCTTTTTGTCAAGTAGGCCGTAGGTCAAGAACTCTGACCAAAAAACAGTAGATGGGATTTGATAGGAGTTTCTACATCATCTTCTGTTCATCCTGGTACATACTAGTCAGAACGAAGGAACTTCAATGTTGATAGGATAGTAGCGGCCATTTATTATTATTCTACAACGTAGATATTTCTGGTTTAAAATGAATAATCTGCCATAATATGATTCATTTCACATACTGAAATGGTATACAGGGCGTCCCTAAACGGACTGTACAGTGTGTCCAGTTTTCGATGCTTTTGCATGATATCTCAGTTATCTTTGGAGATAAAACCTTGCAGTTTTCGTGGTCCTGTGCCACTTTTCTGTGAAACTCAAGATGGCCTTATCAGATTTTGCAGGACTGTTTCCGTTTATGAGATACAGGGCGATTTTGAAAATTTATACTTTTTGGACCCCCCCTATATCTACGAAGTTTATCAGCGAAAATGTCAAATTAACATCCTAACCCATAGAGAATTTTATGCAGAATCCAGTGGCGCACAAAAATTTTTTTTCGGGGTGTGGTTTTGAAAATACGACTCAAACTTATGATTTTTTAAATTGAACACCCTGTATTTTATAGGCCCATTGAATTCCTAATTTTTTTCCCTTCGAAATGATACATGATGTATGAATATAACATCTTCAAAAATGTTAAAAAATCACTAAAACATTGAATTTTAATAGTGGGCTATGGGTTTTTCGAGGGATTTTCAATAAAGAAATTTACAATTGAAGGAATATTTCCTTTGATTGTTCCATGAAGGGTGAAATAACAATTTCGACACTAATTAACTTGCAATACACAAGACTTAGATACCTGATATCCACAAATATATAGTAATGAAAAGTTTATAATGTAGAATAAGCACCTGATTGAATATTTACTAAAACAATTGAATTTCGAAATTATTCAGTGATTTACTCATTGAATTGTTCAAATTGATGTCCATTTTTCATCACAAACTTTCTCAATACATATTAATCATTGAAAGATGTCTTTGTAATTCCTGGAAAACTGCCTCTGTTGTTGCACAAAGTTCTTCAAGTATGTTGGGCCACTCATTGTATTAAGTAGTATTGAGAAAGTTTGTCAACTGTATGTTGGGTAAAATGGATATCAATTTGAACATGTCAATGAATAAGTTACTGAATAATTCTGGAATTCAATTATTTTAGTAAATATTTAATCAGGTGCTTATTCTACATTATGAACTTTTTATTACTATTTATTTGTTGCTATCAGGTACCCAAGTTAAGTGTTTTGTTAATTAATAAGTGTTGATATTGGTTTTGACCTCTCCATGGAAAAATTTAAAGAAATATTTCTTCAATTGGAACGTTTTTCATAAGAAAAATCCATAACCAACTATCAAAATTCAATATTTTAGAGATTTTGAGCAATTTTGAAAATTTTATATTCATTCGTTACATATCATTTTGAAGACAAAAAAATAAGGAATTTGATGAGCTTATGAAATACAGGGTGTTCCATTTAAAAAATCATAAGTTTGAGTCGTATCTCCAAAACCATACCCCGAAAAAAAAAATTAAGTGCACCACTGGATTATGCGTGAAATTCTCTATGCGATGAGATTTTGATTCGACATTTTTGTTGAGAAACTTCGTGGATATAGAGGGGGTCCAAAAAGTATAAATTTTCAAAATCGCCCTGTATCTCATAAACGGAAACAGTCTTGCAAAATCTGATAAGGCCATCTTGAGTTTCACAAAAAAATGGCACAGGACCGCGAAAACCGCAAGGTTCTATCTCCAAAGATAACTGAGATATCAGGCAAAAGCATCGAAAACTGGACACACTGTACAGTCAAAATACGCCGATGTAAACCAACTTGAGTCCGTATGATCAATTTTCTGAATGAGAAATTGTATTCTGAATTTACTGCACCGTATTTTTTTTTTTTTATCGATTGGAGCGCACGAAAGGGAATCCCTATAATGTTCAAAGAACATCGTGCGTTCCTAGGGAGGATAGGGACAGGAGATAGGTATTGGAATTTTTTTTGAATTTTTGGAGATTATATGTTGTTGGGAATACTTCCACAGGCAATGAATTCCAGAGTCTGAATGCAAAATTGGATGAAAAATAGAACATGTCCTATTTCTCATTCATTTTATGTTGAAACGCGCATAACGTCGTTATTTAACTTTCGAATTGTTTGTTTTGTTTTGAAATGAGAAACAATTTTTTGGGGTTATGGTAATGTCACTTGGTATTTTGAGAAGGTAATGGATGTAATATAAATTACAAATGAAATATGTCACTGATTAATTTTACTGTTGTCTCAAATTTAGATAACATCAGTTCTCAGATTATTCTGAATGTTGTATCGTGTTCAGTGATGATCCATTTTCTGGCCCGAATCCGAAATTGCGCCGTTTTCGAGATACAGGGTGGTAAGTTCAAAAAAATAGAAATCGACAAGTATACTCCAAGAAAGTATTGTGAAAAATCTATTCTTGTGCCGCCAATTCACTAATTAAATAACATCCACGAAGATAACAGCTAACATTTTTTATTAAAAATAATTTGAATATTCTGGTACGGCATCGAACCGTTTACATCGAACACTAAAAACGAAATATCTCGAAATCGGCTTACATAGCGGATTTTTACAATAGTGTATTTTTTGCTTGAAAATGTTAGGAATATTATTTCATTAACGAAAAAAAACGAGAAACTACACTAAGAAAAAGGTAATGTCCATTCTAAACTATAAGAAGTGCATTCGTGAGCGCCCTCTAACGGGCACAGTGAAAAAATGTCCATAAATTCTGAAAAAATCGATTTTAATTTTTTTACTCTTACCACTTTGTATCTTGGAAACGGAACAATTTCGGACTGAGATTCAAAATGTTGACCAGATCTTTTAGAGAAACCCTGTATAATATATGATATGAGATTGATCGATGCGCTCCCATGACTTTTACCCTGTTAATAAAAATTGGATCCAACATTGTTCATCATATATTTACGATGACAATTATTAAAATTAGTTTGAAATTTTTGTCAATGAGTTTATGATGACATTAATAGGTATTTTGAATTAGATTTAATGATTTTACAATTTCATTTCATTTTATTCATTCCGAATATGGTCAAATTACATGGCATATGGACAAGTCACTGAAAAATAATAACTACTACTAAATACTGAATATACTATATATAGTACTGCAGTGAAAGTTTTTTATTCTACTTTTGAAAAAATAGAGATTTGATATTTTCTTCAGATCATTAGGTAGATGGTTATATAATTTTAAAGGCATTACAGTACAACTATCTGCCACTAAAATAAGTATATGAGGGGGTAATCTAATCGTCGACGTAGATCTTATATGGTGATTAAAAATATCACCTGATACAGTGTACTTACAGATGTTTCTTTTCACAAAGATAACACATTTAAGAATATATTATAATGATATGACTGTTAGAATGCCTAGTTCCTTGAATAGGTTTTTGCAGGAGTCAATTCGATGTTTAAAAGTTATTGTTCGCAGTACTTTTTTTTTGTAATATCAAGAGAATTGTCTCGAATGTCCAAAGTACGAAGCAATGGGATGAGACTTTTTTTGCTATGTGATCAATATGAGAGTATCAATTTAATTGTGAATCCATAATTATGTACTCCAAGAAATTCGAAAACATTTGATTGACAAACAGTAGAATTTTCAGATCTGACTAATAAACTGTAGTTCAATTTTGTTTTGAGGCAGAAAACTGTAAAAGGTCAGTTTTCATAATGTTCAGTACTAGGTGATTTTTCACACTGTAGTCATTGGAAGCTCTCACGTAATATATAATATATAACATTTCTTATTTTCAAATATATATTTCTGAAATCTAATTGTTGACATTTGAATAGTTATAGATGAAGTATAGTATTCTACTCTAGGCGAGTGCTGTAATCATCTGAGTGGGTGATAGTCATCATTATTATTATTATCAACTAGTAGGAGTGTATATTATATTATTGACCTAGTAGTGGAGATGAATAATTTCACGGTACTCACAGAATCATCAAAAGGAACGTGACGTTTCATTTCTCACCATTATATTTCCGTACGAGAATCGGTAAGTACATGGCCCCGTTTCGTTGTTTCCTTTGTAGACCGGATGACGGAAATCCCGGAATCGGACGTCTTCATCTGCGTGTCGATGTACGACGAGATCAACAGGCAGATCAAAAAGTTGCCGCCCGACGGTCTCAAGAAGTTTGCCCACAGTCCCACCGTCACCGACGATGAGGTTTATTTCTTCACCAAGATACTGAATCCGCCTAAGGTAAGATCCAAAGCAACAAAGCGGGAGAATCCGACGTTCGATTGCATGAGGATTCGATCATCACCGTTATTTTGGTGCTTGTACGAGGTGCGATGGATCAAAGAGCCCGAACTCTTTTCGGAGGAAATACGGTTGTTTCAATGTCATTCTGTCCAATGGAATATTTTTTTACCTACGATATTCTATAGGAATAGTTATATCACACGTTACAACGTTCTGAAATTAATGAAACTTGTTAATACAGGGTTACTGGTAATTCGATACATTCCTTTGGAGATGCGTTAGGGAAGGTAGTAAGGAGTGAATTTAACCCTGATATGCATTATGCAAAAGTTGATGGTTTTTGAGATATTTAATTTCATCTGTTTTCCTCCAAAAGGTGGACTTTGAAGGTAAAAAGTTAGTTTCCCGAAAATCCGCTGTACATTTGTTCAACCTTCCAACTAGAATACATGATCAACACTATGGTCTTATGTTTGAAATGAAAAAAATCGAGAAATAATTCGGTTCATAGATGAATTTGAAATACAAAGTCGTATTATTTTATGTGAATTGTGGATTTTAACACTTCCTAGCGGATATTTTGAAAAAATCTCTTGAGGCACATTTGTCAAAAACTTGTTAAGACTTCCTTGGGGCAACTGGGTATGAATGAAACTAAAATACGGGTTTGTTGATTTGAACGAATAGTGAAAACATATTTGAAAAATGCCTATCAGTATTCATTTTCGGCGATACAGCAACAATAATTTTTTTCATTTTCGTTAAATTTTCCCCAGAAGCATCAAAAAAGCAAAACAAATTTTCATAACCTTCATTATTGGGCCAAAGAAAACCCCCGTTGAACAAGAAAAACTGGTTTCTTCAAATATGTGGATGGGACTCATTGACCGATATTTGATAGGACCACATTTTTTCCTAGACAATTTGAACGGGAGAATGTATGAACATTTTCTACGGCATCATCTACAGGAGCTTATTGAGAATGTTTCTGGCCTTCAGAGGACGAATGATATTCCAACGAGACGGTTCTCCAGCGCATTATCGGCAGATGATACTACAATAATCTATTCCTCTAAAGAATTTAACGATATAGTTGATGATATAAAAAGTGACTTGAAAATGATATCATCTTGGCTACAAATTCATAAGCTGACCCTTAACTATGACAAATCTACGTATATGTATATTTCAAAAAGAAAAACTGATATGTCGAGAACAACAATATTTTTCAACCAGAAAGCCATAAAATATTTAGATATTACAAAATTCGTAGGTCTTTATATTGATGAACAATTATCGTGGACTAAACATATAGATCACCTGAGAAAAAAGCTCAATCCAATTACTGGCATTTTATACAAAATTCGAAATTTCATTCCTCTTAGATATTTGAAGAATATATATTTCTGTCTGATTTACTCAAAATTACAATATTTAATATCAATTTGGGGAAGCACAAGTATATCACATTTGAAACCATTAATGAAATTACAAAATAAAACAATTAAGTGCATTTACAATTTACATTACCTGGAACCAACTATTAATCTTTACAAACCAAAAAATCTGTTGAATTTATCATCTTTATATAAAATGAAAATTTGTTCTTTCATCCATTTTGTGAGAAAAAAAATCAAAATATTCAACTTGAACTTTACTGAAGTAAATACAATTCATACTCATGCAACGAGACAGTTGAATTCATTAATAGCAAACCCATATAACTCCATCATTGGCAAACAATCAGTATTCTACAACGGAATCATTTTATATAATTCATTACCTTATGATTTGACACATATTGATGATGAAACAAGATTTAAAGTCAATATGAAAAAATATATACTCATGACACAATAAACGGAGCAATTTATTCTCATTTGAATACTTGGAATGGTTTCTATTTTAATTATTATGTTATATTGACATAACTTGTTAATTAGTTTTTTTTTATTGTTTTATATATATATATATATATATATCATATGTTTATGTATCCCTATTATAAACAAATATGTTTCTTGGGGTAATAAAGAACAACAACAACAATATGAAAGCGCTAATTTCTGAAACCCCAGTAAGTACCCAGAACGAGCTCATAGCAACTAGAATATCGAAGACCCAAACAAGAAGACGCCGTCGAGCATGTATTCGTAATAGAGACTATCCACTTTGAATAGGATTTGTAGAAAGTAAATTCTAATAGAAATTTTTCAAGTATACATTTTTACTATTCATTTGAAATATCACACCCCTATCAAGCATTTTTAGTTTCATCTGTATACCCAGTTAAAGTGCTATTCCCCCAAGAAAGCTTTAACATTTTTTTACGAATGTGGCATAGAGTTTCTTCTGAAAATAACCGCTAGAAGGTGTTAAAATTCACAATTCACAAACAAAAATACGACCTAGTATTTACAATTTATCTATAAACTGAATTATTTCTGGAATTTTTTCATTCCAAACATAAGACCATAGTATTGATCATGTATTCTAGTTGAGAGGTTGGAAAAATGTACAGCAGATTTTTGGAAACTAACATTTAAACCCTAAAAGTCTACCAATTGGAGAAAACCAGAAAAATTGTGATATCTCAAAAACTACCAACTTTTGCATAATGCATATTAGGGTTAAATTCACTCCTTATCACATCCTCAAAGGAATGTATCGAATTACCAGTAACCCTATTTAATTCGATCAGAGATAAGATTAGAAAAAGTAAACGCCAAACACCAACATATGAATTGAATGGTGAATGATATGGATAACTGCGGAATCTTTGCCAGGGAATTCATATTATGTACAGGGTGTTCGCAAAGGTGAGGCAGTTTTTTATTGAGGATGTAGAATTCATTGGAATATACAGATCCACCTAATTTCGTCTCAATTAAACGGGGATAACGGAGATGTTATCAATTGCACATATTATACATTTCACAATACCAGCCGCACAAATATCTGTTCTTTGATTTGAGGACTGATCCCCTGTCCCCCTACTACTGTACACAGTAGAATTTTGTTTGTCTAGCGCTAGTCATCGGATCCTATTTCTCAGTTGTTTTTTCTATACATTTCCCAATAATGCAGCACGTTTATCAATAAAATAATACTTGTTTACATGCTTCTGATTTATGGTGTGTGTCGCATAAGTGCAAAGATTACCGTAAATAAATCATCCAACACCGCGAATGTTCGTTAATTTGGTGCAAAAGTGTCATGACACAGGGAATAGAGAGGAGAACTTGTGGGAAGGCCTGTACCACAGATTAACGAACTTCATTAATCTGTGCCTGTACCACCCTAAATGGTGAATATATCAGGAACGTAATAGACTTCAACATCCTGTTTAAAAAAATGTCTCACCTTTGAGAACATCCTGTATATTCAATATATCTAGTGAATCGATATTTCTATAATATTGTGTATGTACGATAATAAATTAGCTCCAACGTATTGTAACATAATTATTATACGTAATTGTGTAAAGTGTCAGTGAAGCTATTTGATATTTTCAATATTTCAAACACGCTTTTCATCAACAAAAGCAACCCCTCAAACCAGAACGCCACTGTACCATACTTCTACGTACCTGTGGAATGTCATTCGTGGTCAAGTCACTTAGTAGCTAAAAATCTGAAGGGTATTACCCATTCAGTAATGAATTTATGCCTTCAAAGTGCCCACCTGATGTTGGATGTTTAGTGTCCAAAGAGTATCAGAGAGCGAGAAACAGTGACAAAGTGAAATAGAATGTGTAGAACTGACTTTTCATTACAGAATCGACACTGGCGAAGCATACCTATTCATAATAGTCTCATTTAGATTTATAATAGTAAATGAGTTCTTGATACAACAAAAACTGATCACACAAAATCTAGAAAACCATTAATACTGTCTCATTTAGATTCATAATACTAAAGTTCTTAATACAACGAAAACTGATCACACAAAAGCCGGAAAACCATTAATACTTGGCTCCCACGAAACTTCGCAGAGCTGCCACGTTATGTAACTCACAGTACCCAGCTAGAAAGTTCATAATTATCATCCCGAGTTTCTGACACTTATATTGTTATGGGTGTATTATTTTGTTATAGAACTTATTCCATTGTCATAATATATTTACGCCGAAATGAATGTGGTGTTTTATCCGAAAAATCTTCTTGAATTGTCGATTTGGCAACGGTTCCATAGTGGTCCTTAGAATGTGATATATTTTTCCTACAAAGGGAAAGGAATATGCATCTCTCGTTTCAACTATTTACTCTGAGTTTCCATCACACGTGTTACTGACGAGATCAAATTGAGGGAAAACCTTGGTTTCAACCGTTTTTTATCGGTCTTTCTTTTTTTCATCGCGCCTCGTGTATTCAGAAATTTCCTTATTAGACAGGAGAATTTCTATTTGGAATTGAAAGGCCTCGGTAGTTCATCAAATGGCTCAACATATTTGGGATTTTAAAAATTTGTTTGGGTTTGATTAAATTGTCTTTCTCTTATGACAATTACATTCATTAGATGATATTCTTTGGGCTATTGAAATTGAAAACGATGATTCATTTGGGTTTCAGTAGAAGTATTTTAGAAATTATGTTTCAAAAAATTGAAAATAACTACATTCATGGAATAAATATTGAGTTTTCAATGTGCTGTAGACACATGTATGTTTGGAAACCTTGTGGTTTGGTGAATTTTGTTAACTTTTCTCAAAAGGCAGTGTGTGTTTTTTTATGTTTTGTCTAACACAATGACTAACAATATAGATCAAAGGGGGAATATATCATTTATACAGGGTGAGTCATAACTATTGGGACATAGGCTAAGGGCGGATTGTTTGGACCAAACATGCGTTGATAAAATATTGATGTGAAAAGATACAGGGTATTGAAGTTGAATTTTCTCGTTTTTTGTCGGTTTTTTGCTAATAACTTCACTGTATATGAAATATATTTGAAAAAGTTTTGTGATTTGGTTGCTTTCTGCCTAGATATTAGAGA